GGAGTCTGCATAATATTGAGTTATCAGCCACACTTTCTTGCCATTATTCCTTGATCGTTCAAACTCCTCCAAAGAGGGAATTGTCAATTATTTGTACAATGCCCAATGCTGAGTGCACAGTGCAATGTAGCAGTAAGGCTACGAGCTTACAGAAAAATCTCATCAGTGAAAGACAGAAACCAACAACAAAATCTTCATTTCTGTTCAGTACTTCTAGCCAATGATGACTCCTTCTCCATTCCCTGCTACCAAGCAGTGTGTATTTTACCACTATGTGCAAGGGTGCAATTTTCTGAAGATGATCTTTCACCTGTTTATTTACGTTGACCCCGCCTCGCTGATGGCGGGAAGCTGGATCACCTTGAGTGCTACTTGTTCTGGAGTTGTTTGACACTTCAGCCTCATCTCTGTCATCTGCACCTGTATGTAACACGGTAGGAGAATGGCGCCCTTGATAAACCAAACAGGAAAATATGAAAAAAAAAAAGCAATCTGACTAGGCTTGGAACAAAACATCCATGCCAGCTGGCCGTGGTCAGATCACCCTGGGCCAAGTTGTCTAATGACATAAATTCATTGTGACAAGGCAGTTAACTTGAACAAATGGCCTCTCCATAGCAGCCTCTTGGTGGCGCACTGTATTATGAATTGCCCCTGCTCATTCAGTACTTAGACTCTAAACCCCTGCCCCCCCCCCAAAAAAAAACACAGCAAAAGCTGTCACAGTGAGAAACCTGCCCAGAGTACCAGGACCAAACAGATCAGCTCTCCCCATGGCCAAACAGTCTCTGTGTCCAAGCCTGCCAACCACCATGGGATCCAACATTGGACTTGTCCAATGGGACCTAGCTCCCGTTGCCTCAGCTCTGGCAGGTGCATGCTTGGTGCCAGTCTCGGCTGCCTGCTGCAGTAAGGTCTCGGGCAATCTTTCGCCTCTTGCACCGTGTAGTCAGAAGGGTTAGTTCATTGCCTAGGCTATCAGCAATTCAAGGGACTGCGAAATTATGGCATGCCGTAATGTAATGTTTTCGTTTTTCAGGTAAGCGACCTCTTCAAACTCCCAGTGAGTTTTCCGCTCTCATTATCAAAAAGCTCTTGACTGCTATACCCTTACACCCAAGGGCCTCTTATGTTCAATATTAGTAAAGTGTGGTGAAACAGACGTGATCATCTTTCAAATAATGTGTTACCAACCTGGGTATTAGCAACAATACTTTGAGTACACAGTGCAGAGAATGCACTGTGCTGAACACAAAAAAGGTGATGTCATCATCAAACTATTTTCTAAGGTCAAGGTCACTATCTGGCAGCTAGCTGTACATGAATGCAACCTGTAACACCCATCAATCTCCTGACAGAAATCACTAGGGTCTGGCTCTGAGGACCTACCTAAGCACCAGTTGGGCCGTTCAGGGGGAGGTGGCGAATCTTCCACATCGCCGTAGCGTTTGTACAACTCCTGGATGTAGTCGCCTTTGTAAATGCCGGGAGGGCGCCCTTTTGCAAAGACGTTGACTGCCGCATCAATGCTGTCAATGTGGAAAAACACATCAATTTGATCAAAGACTGACTTGAGAGACTCCGGGTGCAAGGATTGAGCTCTAGAGACCCAGTTTGCTGTTGAGCAACTGTTCTAATGAATGCACATTATTCTAAACCCAACCAAAGATACACTTATGCTCTAACTGAAAAAAAGCTCTGAAGAGACTTGTTTTATTTCCTCATGTTCTATGCCCAAGTTCTTTTTTGAACGTCCAAGCCTACAAAGTTGCACACGTTATCACTACCTCCAATCCATCTGCTCGACTAAGTAAGCACAGATCAGGAAGCCAGTTCTGTTGAACCCATGGGTGCAGTGTACGCCGATGATGTCCTCTTGATTCTTGGAGACAAAGTTGGAGCACACTTTGATAAATGCCTGAGTCTGTTCAACGGATGGACATTCTCCGTGTCTGAAAAACATTTGAGTTAAAAAAAAAAATGATCTCAGTTTCTCTTGATTTAAAAAAGCACACTTTTTAGTTTTTCACCTGAAAGTGCTTCAGAAATCGGTTTGGGGGGGGGGGAATTTGGAATTACCCTCTTACAAGGAAACACTAACAAGGGCCCTGCACTGATTTGGGGAGAGGGGTTGTGTTCTCCGTATGAGTTGGACAAGCAATGGAAGTCAAGGAAAAACGAGCACATGCAAACTTACACATTATTAAGCTTTGAAGAGACCAATGTTGGGTAGCATTTTCTGTTTTTATTACGTGATAACTTTGTAGCTGGATTATTTTTAAGGTCACTTTTTTTGTAGTACATGTAAGAAACACCATTTTAGCAATATTTTAAATCATGTCCATAGCCGCTGTTACTATGACATGCCACGAAATTTTACAAGAGCTTTGAGCCACGACAGATCTTAAAACAATGTTGAAAATGGGTCAGTTTCGATCAAGAGTGAGTGAGAGTGAGTTTTGAGTGCAACTTGTGTTTCTCACCCTCGACACTGCAGCTTGAAATGTCTGGCTCCCTTAGCTTCAGCGATCTCCTTGTTATAGAAGCGATTGGTATTAGTCAGATCGACCAAAAGTCCCATCTTGACCTTGTAGCTATCCAGGTATGAAAACAGCATGGGCAGGTCAAAGCGATTCTCTTCAGGTATTTTATTGTTGTACTGCGGTCCAAGAGGTGTCTTGAAGGGTAAAAACTTCCCTATCACCAAAAATGTAGAAAAAGAAGAATGCTCTTGGTTACAGACAGGCAAACTTTTCAAAAGCTTCCATTTAATGAGTATTTTCCATCCAATGTGCACCCGAAGTTGCATGTGAGCTGGATGCTCAAAGGTCTCCTCATGTAAACCCTTCTTTTGTCCAAAGAGTGACCTGTCACTAACGCTTTATCCAAAATGCAGAGGGGTGCAGGGGGCGAACAGGTTCAGGTCTGTGACTCCTGACTCTGGAGGGTCAGAGGTTCCAATCCAACTGCTGTTTGGGAGTTGTGTCCTTGATAAGTCACTTAACCCCTGCTTGCCTCTCTCCACTCAGGAGTATGAATGGGTACCAGCATTAGCTGGGGAGCATCCTGCGAAGGACGGACGGTCTGGCATCCCATCCAGGGGGGGGGAGGGAGTAAACATATTCTCAAGTCATCTCATTCCAAGCAAATCAGAGATACACTCCAGCCTGATGAGCCCAATGGCTTGGAACAGCTAAGTTTGCTTTTTCAGGACAGGAAGACCCAAATGCAGGTCACCATGGTAACTGCAGCTTCCCTCCGAGGAAACTCAAAGCCCCAAATCATACAGTTATCTGCTCATAAAACTTGTACCTTGGCTGTATCATTTACTGTAGTATTCGTTTGTCTACGCACCTGCAATGAGTTGGCCTTTGCGAGGACAGTTTAGCCATCTGTCTGGTACAGCCATGGTTGCATTCACTAACTAGCTGAACGACTCATCACAAATCTGCAAAGGATGAAGAGGAAAAGTCAAATGAGTTGATTTTGCTTTTGCTCTATTTTACTGGGGTAGCCCATGCGTTATCAAAGAATTTACACTGGGCGCCTGGATAAGTGGCTGTGAGAGTTAACATAAAATACACATACAAAAGCATCTATTGTATAGCCTACATGTACACATAGAAGATGAATGTACATGAAACGATTCAACTGAAATAGTCCAAGATGAAACCAACACATATTGGAATTATTCTCAGTCGTCACAGAAATCAATTGGGACTCTCAACATAATTTCAGATGAAAAATGCATGCACATGTACAAGTATTCTAGAGTTCTGTTGCTTTCTAACACATATAAAGCAACAATACCACATTAACAAGAGAAACTTAACGATGTGCTAAAAACTGTAAGTTACACATCTGCAATAGATGCAGTTACTTCCAAATTTTGAATTACGGGCTACTCCTAACTTGGCCAGACTGACTAGCATACATTCCTGCATGTATGACACACTGAATATTGGCAACTGAACCCATCTTAAGTTTAGGGTCGTTCTATGCATTTGGGGTCAAAAAGTGTGACATTTTGTGTCCCTGTAACAACTGACCTGTGTAATTGGACACTGAAATGTCACTGAAAGTGATTTTAAACTATTTCTTTTGTTTTGCAGGTAATTTGCATGAAGAACTTACAAAAATCATGTTAGATGTGACTGGGACACGAAAAAAAGTGGACCCCTAATTTATAGAATGACCTTTTATCAAAGAAGAAACTGCCTATGCATGCCTCATGACGAGCCCTACTAGGCCTACTAATAACATATCATTATGTCGTCACCTGCGAAAACTGCTGAGAATTTTCATGTTTTCTAGCACATCCAACCACCCAATTGCCTTCTGCTGTATTCTGTGTTTTTTGGTTGTGATTTTCAGACTAATCACTGGGACTACGTACATGACGTACAAACACTGATTTTTGCATTTGTTGGGAAGTAAAACAGATAGCAAACATCATCGCAATGTACAAGTTTTTCTCTGAGGATAGCCCAACGGTAAACAGGTCAATGTTTTTGGAAGTCTTAGACAACACTTAACACCCCTGTGCACAAACCTATGAGACTTGTCTGAAAATTTTAAGTCTTTTCCAAGTAAATGCATGGGAATTTTCTTCGCTAAATTTCACTTGTTCGGACATGTTATCACTTTCTGAAGGCTGCAAGCGTGAGACTGTTATAAAATTTTAGGGAAAGTGTTGTCATGATTGCTCGTATATGGAACTCTTCAGTGGTTTTTTTTTTACCAAAAATCAACTTGTTCAACAGTCTGTGTTGATGGAACACTACTTTTTGTAGCCTATAGCTGCACATATACTTGACCAAAGATACGGGGTAACCATGGAGGTAGTTATAAGGTAACAATGCTTGTCGAGCCTGTGCATGCGTACCCAGGCCATTATAATTTATACTCCGTGCTAGTAGTAGTGGCATCGCGAAGGCCTACAGAGATGGGGCTAGGCCTAGAAAAATCCAGCGACATGCATCATGATCTGCCTTCTCTCCCTCTCAATATTAACAGGCATGAGTCTGTGGTTTCTAACAGTGAAAGTTATCTTTTCAAACAAATTGTAGTTTATACCCTCCAAATACTTCATTCACTTAATTTTTCCACTTTTATTACCTGGCATCGCTAGCGAGGTTATGCTCACACACGTCGTAGACCTACGCGAAATATATTGGCAAGCGTAGGTCTAGTGTAAAACTCAAAACTATTGAGGGCGGCCTTTCGAAGGTCAGTAAACTCCAAACCTATATTTATGTCTGTGCTTCTAACTTTTGCTGTCACGTCAGACCTGACACATGCAAGTAAAACCAAATCAAGCAGTAGACCCGCGGTGCGGCCCTTACCTACCTTGGTGCATCCTGTTTTCCGAAAATGAATAGGCTTGCTTGGAAGAGACAACTCTGGTTTTTTTTCAGAAAAACTCTCAAGAACTAAAGTCTTGTAGTGCACTCAAGTGCATATTTTCTATAAGTAATTATACATTTTTTAGAAGTTCGTATATTCCAATTTCCTATTTATTAAATTTAAGGTTTCAAAAGTTCATTTCTACGAGATATTCTACAGTTCTTTCCTATGAGACATGTACTTAAGAAATATTGTTTCTATTTTTGGGAAACAAGTTGTTTTTACATATATTTATATGAAAAAAATACCTGGTGATGGAAGGTCACGTATCGACATATGTTTTGACATGAGGATAAATGGGGGACGACGGACGGAAAATGATGTCTTCCATGAACTTACATATATCCTTAAAAAGGATTCGAAGTTTATTTTATAGTTAATGTTTGGGCAAGATTTGAACGCCCCCAGAGACACCCAATGTAAGAAACGCTTTCCGGTCAAGTGGAACATTAACCCTAACACTCCTCAATCCTTCACCTGTCGGAGGACTAAGGAGTGTTAGTAATATTCATACGCGTATTACAGGAACCTGTCTCGATCTACTGGAAACATGACTGGAATTAAAAATGCAGTCAACTCTCCAGAGTGGCCGCAGAGCAATTCAGGTGCCCTTCTGAAACGATAACATGTTTTAAAAGTAGAAATAACCGTTTCTGTTTTTGGAGCCATCATTCTCGAAGCGTGCTATTAGGTAGAATCGGCAGCTTGGGTATCGTTTATAAGGACTGGTATTGGCTAATCCAGGTCTTTGGGACTCATTACTTTATTGGGGCCTGGTGCATGCACGCGTTATGACAGAAAAGCAGAGCTCAATTACAGGTTGCACTGGCGTCATTCGATGAAAAGAAATATTGTCAAACGCAAGGGCGGATGGGGAGGGGGCACTGCCGGCGCCAGACCTCGGTGGCTGTGGGTGCAAGTGTGGGGCAAGGCAGAATCGTGTGGGTGCAAATGATCCTTCATTTTTTGGTGGGTTACTTGAGTCGTAAAACGAAAAGTTTGATTGCCCTGTCGTAAAATGTGAATTTTTTTTCGTGGGTTTAAACATGCCGGGTGCAAGCGGCTTTTCGTTGGATGCATTTGCACCCACATCGGACACACGTAGTGCCGCCACTGATGGGGGGGGGGGATAACAGGGCATTGGACCCCTTTGGCCCCCCTTAAAGAAACAAAACTGATTTTTTTTTTTGCGAAATGAGAGAAAGGCGAATCGATCACGTTACAGTGGTACATGCAGCAACGAGTTCAATATAAACCTTGATGTCTGCTAGCTCGTCACTCGGACACAGAGACCCCCCCATTTTTGTTGGTCATCGTTTCACTGAAATCTGAGGAATTCTTTTCCGACATCTAGGGGGATGTCTTAGGTAACAACAGTCTAGAGTGTGCATAGTGATTGGATATGTAAGGGGAGGGGGTTCGCATGGCCACCAAGCAACACATGATGTCGTTACACAAAAGGCCAGATCATCTAAAAGTATACCAGGCATGAAATGGGACAGAGGGTCCCCCCCCCAAACAAGTCCAATCCCTATACACACTCCAACCTATTGTCACTTAACACATCCCCCTAGATGTCTGAAAAAAATTCCTGACGGATACCAGTATACCAGTGACCAACACGAAGGCAGGAGGGGGTTCTCTCTGTCCCATAGTTTGCCTTATATTTCTAATAGGAAGCCGTATAAGGTACTGTACCAAGAGCCTCTGAAAATCAGTGGGGCGCCAAAGAACAATTTGAGAGCATGGGAAATGACGCAGTATGTCACGTCACAGGCCCGTTGCCTGACCAGAGACTTGAGGGGGTCGTCAAACCCAAAAGAGGAACTTTTGACACTGTGAACACATATTTTTATACAAAGGCCTATCATAATGTGCTTTGGAGCACAACATCGCACAAGCTCCATGTTTGTCGCGAACCGAGTTTTCAATAGTCACGGCGTATTGTAAATTGGCCTGGTAATGAATTTGCTTTTCACTGTGCACCTTGAATCGGGCGCTGGGTGACGGTGAGCAAATGATATGAACATTATTATTAAAAACATCGTAGAAAATCCCGCAAAAAAATTCAGGTCTAAAAAGTTCCAAAAATGAGATACATTCTAGTAAATCATTATAACCTCCACCCACCTAACTAAAAATGGTAAAAAAAATATTTTAGGGCGCCTTTGATTCTGCACTTCGGAAAAAATCAGAAAATCGGACCAAATTAACATGTCATTGGAACTTTGTAGCGGGTATATGAAATCGACATTTATGAATAAAAATAGTTGGAGTTTGATTAAATTTCACCTTTTGTGACATTGGAGATAAAATATTGCTCCATACACAAACGTTAGAAGTGAAATTTCGAAGTGCCCATTGGGTCCACGCCACTTTCCGGTGCGCATTCTTCATTGTAACGTGAAGCAGCGCTCTAACAAGTGTTTTCATTACGCCTAACCTTTCTCAAGTTTTCCACAATACCAATTTCAGTGGACTGGATTAGTGTCCTGAGTCCTCGCTGGGTGGACCATGCAGCTATTCTTTTTAAGACCTGTAAAATGATAAACAACATGGATTACACAACCGTAAAAGACAAAAGCGATCAGACGTACCACACAATATGTGAGATGCGAACGGTACTTACAGGGCATTTACAAGTCTATTCAGTCTTCTGGACTGGTTTCCTTAATTTCCAACACGTGAGAAGTAAACGGCAACCAATGAAAACATGACTGCCTTGTTCCCGCGCCCGGAACGCTGCACCACGCCGCTGGGTACGCGTGGCTGGTCCGTCGCGGTGGCGCGGCGGCCCAGGGTTAGGCTGCGCTGAAGCATGGAGTGGCGTTTAATGACTGATTTCATTCTTTAAACGTTGCCGTATAAACCACCTGCAGTTCATTATAAACCACAGAGATATGTTCCGCATGAGAATCAATGTATAAACCGCGGCTTACATTCCGGAAATTGAAGTATATTTAAATTATATATTTATTACACCCCCCCAAAAAAAAATCTCCAACGAGCGGAATTCGGCAGCGAGCGGGGGGGGGGGTTCATTCGAACCCCCGGACCCCCCCAGCCTACGGGCCTGCCGCCCTTCCTTGAAATCGCACGCTGTGCCGATTGTTAGAAGGCTTTGCACAGCAGAGCCTATTATACAAACAACGTACTGCTGCCTCTGGCCTAAGCACACTGGTGCTTAGGGCCAAGTGAAAGCTAATTGTGCCCAAGGCGCACCGTTTAATAGTTCACTGGGCCTACAGAACTATAGGTGTAGTGACTTAGGATGGTGGAACACTGCCGGTGTGGTGGTGCTAGTGCAGGGGCGGATCCAGGGTGGGGGTGCACGCCCACTGTTTTCACCAACAATATAAATAAATAATAAAATAAACAAATGAATCAAAACGAAGAAAAAGAAGGGAGGGAGAAGAAAAAAGGGGTCATACCTGAAACTGCTTCACAGAGCGCCTAGAACCCAAGAATGCCCTGGACTCTACGCCGTCTGGCTTCGCGCCACGCGCTTGCGGGCATTTCACCATTGACGCTTTCGTTCACGCCCCCCCCCCTTGGAAAACCCTGGATCACGCCCCCCCGGGAAAATCCTTGATCTGCCTCTGTGTGCCCCCTATCATGGTGCCGTCGCTTCCTCTCTATTACTTTTGTGCATAGTATGACGTTGGGGCCGTGGGGCCGTCTCACTAACGTATAGTCCTTACCGTCATGTAGATTGTCGTCCCTTCCCTCTCCCGTCGCCTCATAGCTCTGTGAAAAATATCCCTAGGAACACTGCTTTAGCCTGAAAAAGTATGTTTTCTGAACGGAGTCCCATTAAGAAGTAACAAATCAAGACTACTTCCAGGGCAGAGGCGAAGATACGACGGGACGCCCTCAGTAATGGAATCAGGGAGTAGCAGACTGCAACGAGCTCGAGATTTAAGAGAAAAGTCAGCGACCGATAAGATTTAATCTTCTCTATCGGGCAAACGATATTGGCCAAGAGCATTGACACACTTAGTCCGTCTTGTGCAGGAGATGCGACAAAGTGTGTCATAAATAGTACACCGTATGTTAAAACTTTGCACCATCTATAGCATTAGGGTTGGTTTCCATTATTAAACCTAGTTCTTTAGTTCAAATACAAGAACTGATTACAGTATATTACAGTCTCTTTCATCATTTCTTGTTCAGTATCCATTTTTTTCTCTGATGTCTCTTTTTACAGCAAACAAACATGTCATTGAGCATTTTGACACGGTACAAAATTATGCACTCACGGTCTGATGGTGATGTGTTCTAGCCGTTTAGTCACAATATTCTGTATTTTGTAGCTTCTTGAGCTTAAAATCCCCATGAGCAACTGCGAGTAATCAACGCAGGGAACTCTATACCACCATACGTCTATTGTGCCAGAAAAGTGCCTCTGTACAAGATGTCAGTGTTATCTGTTGAAATTGAAATGAAATTTCTTTGGCATCCAAATACAGTTTTTGGTCTATTTTGCTGACGACGTAACGCCATGGGCCCCATTCGGACATGGAGATGCGCGATGCCAATTGCCACTCACAGTAGAGTTTACATGGAGATTAAACTTCCCTCATCGTTTTGTATGAACATTGCACTGATGCGACAAATTTAACTCGGGGGTTATGGGTAATTCTTATCTCTCCTACAGACCTCGCTTCGATTGCCAGTTGTACAACATCAAAAATTAACTTGAAAGGAAATGCATCTTGCCAACTCTGCATTCTGAGATGATGACATTCAAACGATACAACTCATTTTAAATTCCTGACTTGACTAACTTGCCTAAACCTTTATGCTTTAAAAACGTACTGAAGCTGCAATTTGTCATAAGAGTTCACTAAGCTAGCGCATGCGCAGCATTTATTTCAACCCTCCTCCATGTTTCAAGAGACCTACCAACCAGAGTAGAGCGATGTTGGCTGATTCAGATATTGCACTGTCCTTCAGTACTTTCAGACACTTTGTTTTAGGCGATTTTAATACCAACCGCCAATCAATAGGGGGAAAAAATCAGTGATCGTCTAAGCCTGTATTACGTAACATGCTTTCCCGATAGGGTGAGTTGATTGGTTCCCGAAAAGTAAACATCCACACGTGCCACTATGCCTTCTCGATTGGATATTTGCATATACATTAATGATGAAGTAACAATCTGAGCATCGAGTCAATGCTCAGCGAATGAGAAAAGAACAAAAGATCTGACAGAGGGGGATGTGCCACAGCGAGACGGCAGGTGTAACAATCATTACTAACCTGTCTCCATCACAAGCAGCAACACATAAGGGAGAGTTACAGCTGGGTAGCAAGAAAGCTAATAGACGGGATTCGGGTAAGTTTCGAAGAAGAAAAAGCTTTAATTCTTTGATGGATCTTGATGTACCAGAATAAAACGGAGAAAAAAAGACAAGGATGAAAAGTTCGAATGTGTTGACGAATTGCTTTCTACTAATGGGTAGATAAGTATTTAAGGCCACTTCTATATCATGATGGAAAGTTAACGAAGGTAAGGTCAGCTTCTTGTTTTTTTTCCGTAATAAAAGAGATTAAGTTCCATTATTGGTTTCTTTTATGATGAGGGTATTGGTCAGCATCGTCAGACCTCAGGTATGGGGCCAACTCCTTCGAAAACATGTCAGAGCGTCACTAAAAGCTGCAAAGTTGTCAAAGAAACCAGGAACGATGCCCAAGGTCCCACTGCGTCGTGGATATCTGCTATTCACGAAGCGCCACAAAGGGGTTTATCCTTTGCTTGTTATTTCAATCACAGCGACTTAAGAAGCCAACTTACCACTTCATCGGTAGCAGTGGGTTGGAAAGAAGCCTCCGTGTTGCATTGTTTAGCAGCGATGCTTCTCCTCGCACTGTCCACATGTAGTAAAAAGGCTTTGTACAATCCTTTCAAAAAGTCTTCGATAGGTATTTGGTCATTCCATTCTGCCCAGAGTCTATATAGACGCTTGCAATGTACCCCAGTCTACTGCAGTTGCCTGCAATTCAGTGTTCCGGAGAAATAAATTTACATATACAGCACAGAGTTCTCATATGGCCAAATGATAGAACATCTAGCCCCTGGATGGTCTAAACAATTGCAAATATACCGGTGAGTAATCAAGGAGTGGACAGATAAGTACCATGCAACATATATACATCTCCTCACTTTCTTGTACATGTCTGCTCGTTTGCTGTTTCGCCACAGTGAATTAATCTCAAGCGGTAGCACCCGATTCAACGAAGGCTTGGAAACCTTTTGCATTCTGATACCATGTATTTGATTTTGTGGTCGTTTCACAGGTGGTAACTCTTCTAGACTTGGTTTTTTCAAGCAGCAGTTGCTACTATAACAGCCATGCCTCGCGCTTTCCTCGTCAAGAAAAGAGGAACCTTTCAGGACCGACCGGAGCCGGATTATGATGCAGGTATATAAAATGATAATTGGCATAGTCTATATCGCATCAACAATCGATTTGATCACTGCCAGTACTGCACGAAGAGGCCAGACTGGATAATGTCTGAAATTTATTTTTTTGTAAAAAAAACAAAAGGTTTCGAATTTCAAGAAAAAGCAAGTTAAAATGACATTTGCAATCGATAAAACAAAGAACAGACCAATCAAGTGTCTAAGTATTTTAAGTGCAATGTGGCAGCACTCCTTTGAGAGTCTGAATACCCCTACGAACGGCTGAGATTTATCGAGCTTACACAAATTAGAAACAAAAAAGAGCCAGCCAGTGTAAATGTTTTGACAGTTTTAGCTCATAAAAATTAAATTGTATCAGAACTTAAAATGTCATTCTTCCAGTTGCTGCTTTCCTACTTCCATTTCCCCATGGGTGTTTCTGTGATTGTCATTAAGTACAAATGCACTTTACTGTCCCGATCCATACCATACAACAATGAATCTACTACCAAATAATTGTTTGCTGTGTCAATATGCTACTTTAGGGAGTGTGGTTGGAATGTTGGAACTAATTTGATGCATTCTTATTGCCTAAGACGTTTCTTACAAAACTCCCAGTTCCTCAAGTTTTCCCGAGCCTGTTTTTCGTTTTTTCGTCGTCCTTTCCTTTCTTCCCATCTGTTGCTCAAAATGTTATGAATGTTAACAGAGCATGCGTTGTCGAGGACCCTTAACATTTATTCAGCCGTATGGGGTTACAAATAACGCACGACTATGGTGACCGTGCCGCCGGTTTGAAGCTCCATCACCCGCTTTATACGTGTTTGTGTCTTTTTCCTTCTCACAGAGTATCTTGAGAATAACAGGTCGCAGTCAGCTAGCCAAAATGATCTTGGAGAAACTTGGCAACATGAGCCTAACTGGGGGAAAAACGACGCACTGACGAAAAACTATTCCACCTGTCAAGATGAAACAGCGGCGGCTGCTTCTCACAAAACATCATTATACGTCCACTCAAGTAGTACATCATCACAAAGCGATACAAAGGAGCTTGTTGAACCTATGGACTTATCCCAAGCAAAACCTACCCTTGTTGTTTCATCTACTTCTGCATTTGAGTATGTGGAACCTACAATGCGTGCTGCACAAGACACCAAGGCACGCCCATCAAAGTGTCAACCCACCTTCAAAGCCAGCCGCTGTCTAGATCTCTCGGACGAACCTCTCGATCTGCACGTCAGGCGGACGACGGAGGGAATTTCTCTCCAGTCGTCTGCGACTATCCCCGCATTCACCTCTGCCCCATCACTGCCATCCAGACTCTATAGTACATCGGCATACCAGAGGTGCCAAGACGAACCCACCCCAGCGTCCGCCTTATACTCTTACATGATCAGAGGAACAGCAACAGGACTACACTCTTACTTTAAAGATGTCACGTCTTATCATCATTATTCTGAGTGGCAGCAAGAGACCGGTAGGTCTAGGCCTAATCCTAGCGGACCTCAGTTCTACGAAGAGGAAAACGTGACAACACCGCCTACCACTAAAGAAAGTCCCACCAAGCAGGACTTTTACACATTGCCGCCAAGGTATTATATTGACAAGTATATCTTACCGGAAGACATTAAAAAGCACTCAAATATCCAACAAATTAAAACAGAACCGCAAACACCATTAAAAATAAGTCCTTGTGAAGGCCAGCTGGTGAAAATTCCACCCCATCCCCCGAAGCCAGAAAGATTTTTGATCAAACACGAAAACGTCTCCAGTCGTTCTGAGTACAAGGGACGTGTGATGAAGCGTTCTGCGCGGCAGCCAATCCTAGGCCTGGAATACATCCAGAACACTCCCAACTTCCAAGACAGCGAAAGTCCGGACAGAGACTCCAGTCCGTCAATAACACCTCAACTCCTTGAATTAGAGAGTATTGAGCAGCAGAATCTAGAGTTGGGTTGCAGCTCCAAACATCAGAATTCGCAATATAGCCCGGAAAGCACGTCTGATACGACTGGGAAAGCTTCAACCATCAAGGTGGACAAGCCGGCACAGTACAAGAAATATATCTGCGATATATGCGGAAAGGGCTTCAGTCGAAGCAATACATTAGTAACACATAAGGTAAGTTGCCCACATTACACAGTATTGCCAACATTCTATATTTTTTTCCGTTTCGACCGGTGTAGCTGCAGGGGGGGGGAGTAGGCGCGCCCCCTGCCGATGCCCGTTCCCCCCGTCTGAAATTTTGAAATGAACACTATACACCGTATATAAAAAAAAGGCAACAAGATTTTTGTTCAAGTTTGTGAAAATTGTGTTAGCTTTACACCAAAGTGAGTGGTAGCACCTTAAAGCCTCTTTCCAATTATCTGGTATTTCATACACGATCATGGATGGCTGGCTATTACCATTCTTTTTGGACAATGGGACAAAATTGGCTTGGGACCAAGTTTCAGTTTAGTTACACCAGCATAAATCCTCATCAATTCTCCATCTCTCTCATGAAATGTTCAGTCGGGCGAGTCATTACATAATCTCTTGATCAAATATGTGTTGCATTGATGGGCTTGTTACAGGTTCTAGCCCTGGAGAAAGATATCCTGAAGAAGGATTGTGATTATTCATTTCATTATTCCATGTTGTCAAGTTAATTTCTAATAAGATGCCATGGTTATTGCAGTGGAGAATGATTAATCGGCCATCCATGACCGTGTATGAATAAATAACATATCATTGGACAGAGGAGATAAGTAGCTTTATGGTGCTACTACTCACTTTGGTGTAAAGCTAACACAATTTTCACAAACTTGAACAGAAATCTTGTTGCGGTTTTTATACACAGCCTGTAGGCCTAGTTCATTTACTATGAAATTCAGTGCATCGTGGAAAATTGCCCAACCCAGAAGTATCGCCCATGCAGTTACGCCATTGAGGACTAGAATATATTGCCCGCGACTTTCCAGACTGTGGCATTAAAAGGGATCCGCTGTCCCCTGCCCATGACGGCCTCTTCACCCGACTTGCGTCTAAAATGCAACGATTTCACATAGATTTGGGTTCCAGATTATTTGTAGCCCACACCTTCCTGTTATACTTTGCCTGAAATGGTTTTGGTAACTCTTGAACGTTTTAACCTGTCTTTCATGGCCTGCCTAGTTTAAATTAATGTAAGCCTTACGTAAAATTCGCTTTCGCTCCCTGTGACTGAAGGGCCTAGGTCTCACAGAAAGCAACGATCGAGGTCTCAACAGTAGGGCCGGACGGGATTGACACGTCAGTGCACATGTACCTACATATTGGCGCCTTTCTAGAGCACTGGGCCTACTTCATTTCCACATTTTATTGTAGGACTGTGGTCTTGTGCCCAGTTCCTATTTGCGTGCATGGAAACGAATACACCGCTAGACACGAAATGATGGGTGGTAAACGAAAAATGGGAGGTGTGTAGGCGTGAATCGTGAGGGCTCGAGGGAAATGCAACCCCTCCCCATACACGCTCTTTTTATGGGCGGTACATGCAGGGCCTTCCCATTGGCTTCTGTCAACCCACGTCCCTCCACTTTCAAGAGCACCGTTTGTCGCCGCTCGGGGGAGTCTTCATTGGCAGATACATGTACGAGTACGCGTGTCCGTAGTTCGCTGGGCATGCAGCCTGTCAGCGTGAAAATTCGGATGTTTCTTGACTGGATAATATCTCGGTTAAATACCCACAACATGTTCCTGGCCAGTAGCTATAATGGTTTGATTCAAACTAATTACAATGATTTAACAGAAATTTTTGAATTTCTGTGAAAAGCAATGCTTGATTAAATAATTGCGGAGTGTGAGAAGCCAGAAATGTGTCAAAATATGGAAACATCTTGACATTTCGGGAATTCGCGGAAGATATGAAGCTACTTTTCAAGAGAAATATACAACCGAAATTGCAAGCGTACCAAATATTTCGCACGTAAAACAAGAACGCACAATAAACTAGTTTATTTCAATAAAACGATTAAGAAACACGTTTTCACGGTTGACCCATTCCATTCATAAAGCGAACTTCTGCTCATCTTCAAAGCCATATACACATAAAAACCGTTCCATATTCAACATTTGTGGAACAAATGTCAGATTTTTGGCAAGCGTTTCCCAGTTCGAAGGAAACCACGACTTCTACGTCTCTCTCTGATGATCGCAGTCTTCACCAGGACTTTTTTTCGCGGCCCGGCGACTGCCTCATTGAAAGGCACCCCCCAAACTGATCAATATCCCCTTCAGTCATCGTATATTCATTTGTTTAGGAATTACACGAAGGAAATTTTTGTTACACTACCACCACCACCAAAAAAAATCACTTGTTGTGACCGGTGAGGTTATATAAGTTCAATTCCAAATTGTTTCAGGAGAAATTGTACCTTTTATCGAATTTTACGCACAAGGCCCTCCCACAATGCGTAAATTTCCGATTTGTCATTATCACAATAATAATAATAGTAAGGATGAGCACTGTTACAACATTCAGTATCTTTTAATTTGGCGAAATAATCAAAAGTGACACTTGAGAACAGAAATCTTTCCATTCTCTTTTCCTAATCGAGTTTTAAATAGCTTTAAATCAAGCCTGTTAATGACATTTTTGTCTATAATAAACATTAATAACATGATTTCTAGTTTTAGCTTATAGCACCACACAATTCTAATATTACTTGAAATGGGATTTTAGACCTAAATCGGGTGCATGGTAACCGTTAACAATGTGGTCGAACATTTTTGCCCATACTGCGTACTCTTTTCAGCTAGGCAGGAGAACTAATCAACCAACGAACGCTCAACTTTGAAGACTGTTGAAGCCGCACCTCGGAAATTCCAAACTCTTCATTCAGCGATGTGCAGAGTATGGCTTGACAGTGGCTTAACTTCGTGCAAAGTTGACACTGCCGTTATTGTCAAAGATGACGCTTGAATCCCGCTTTGTGTCTCAGACAGCACACGCCCGCGCATCTGTCGGGTCCTTCAGTCTTGAGCGTGATTATGAATAATGCATTTTAGTCACTAGATAGGCATCACCGGCAGGGTTACGCCTCAATTATCACTGTCCGTATATTTACGTTAATCTCGATGTGGGAGACAGATGTTGGATGGGACCTCTTAAATCGATATATCGTCGGTTCTACTCACGGGTCTTAGCTTTTAATTGAAGTCATTTAAATGTGTCGTGAGAACAAAACGTACAGATGTAACCTGTGTATGTGCCCGTACCATATATGACAAACACTCCGACGCTTATGCGCTGTATGTGGACATTCACTTTGAGACACAAAACAACTATAATATGAACGGAGGGTCTAAGTCTGGCAATCGGATTAAGACGGCGGGCTGGGCACGACTCGGTCCTGGTATAGGGCTTCTGATGGCTGCTAATTCGTGGTGGATTTTTTTTATATTTCACTTTTGAATAGATCTTTTTCGTTGGTGGAGAAACTAATTATCAGAGCGTACAAACAATAGAACTGCATTTGGAAATATGAGTGTCCATCAAAAATGAAAACAGCGCATTAAAAAGGGTCAACCAACAGTGAACTATTGTCAACGTTAATATCAAGAATGCAAACATATTTCCCAACTCAATGAAGTGAAAATTACAAAACAAACTTATGTCGTTTTCATTTTATCATGGGATGTATTTCATCAAATATCAATTATCACTTTTCCTCAATTTTCTTCTTGTACCTGCACATCAACTAAAAAGATTAATGCTAATACAATATATGCGATTAAAATAAAATAGGTAAAGCTTTCGAGAAGAAATCGCTTTCACATCTGTTGAGGCTGAAAAATAAATGTGAATACTAAGTGCTTGACGAATGAGCTTTAAATCTTATATATATAGGCCTAAGCTCAGTGACATTCACTGCCATGGTCGAGGACAATGTGATAATTATAAGCTTTAAATCTTATTGTTTATTATAAATTATCAAAGAAACACCGTGAAAAGATTATGATGTGACTTTGAAACCGATTGTTTTGTTGGTTTTGTTCCTACCATAGCTTCGTTTAAAATGCATTAGGCCTACTTGTTCTTGATCTAAGCCCATTAACTCTGTCCTCTTAAACTGACCCAACTATTAGTACAGTTGTTGCCGCTCTCAAACGGCAACAAAATGTCGAGTCCAAAGCACAAGATAGGGTATTTTTCCTGGAACATAAGTGTTCCACACTAGCCGCCATGGACCTCAATATCTCGTTTATCTCGTTCAGCATTTCATGCTAGTAGTTAGTGCACAGTAGCGTTCCTGGGGTGAAATTTTTAGGGGACACCTGGCAGTGGTGGGCTATTATGTCCGGGGGGCACCTGGGGGTGCGCACCTTTTTTTCAAGGGGGCACCAAAAGATAATGAGCAGTAGCAGAGGTTATTCATGGATTTCAAATTGGGGGAAACCGGGGGAGGGGCACAAGCATTCGCTGGGGTACGTGCCCCCTTGCCCCCCTAGTTACACCACTGACACCTGGCAATGGTTCACATTATTTATTCCAATGGGGCTCTAACAAGAAATTTCAAATGTGGGAGTGATTGTTACCGGGGTAGGGCAGTAGCATGAAGACATTCCCACGTGGTCCCGAAGTTACAGCCACAACAACATGATTTATTTGGGAGTTAAGAAAAGGATTTTCCTATAACAAGTTTGTTTTATCTGGATTATTGAGACTTCGCTCTTTGTCACGACTCGCGAGGTACGACCGATGGTAAACCGCAAAACTGTGCTTCAGTGAAGCCAGTATAGGTTCATCGATTGTTCCCTTTCACTTCTTTTGCAAGGTTGATTTGTCAAAGTGAGCCAGGTTTTCAGCAGACAGAAGTCTCATGGAGCCACATTGTTGGTAATTCTTTTGGAGTCGCACCATCTCATCAATATTTATATAGAATAGAGTTGCAGGCCTACAGAAAGGCCCGAAACAGCTTGCGCCGATTGAATCACGATTTGCACACCGTAAGATTCTCGGCTTTAACTGAGCTTTTGTGGTTCATGACTTTAAGGAGTTGGAAAACGGAGCAACAGATATAAAAATTGAACTCGACTGTCAGCTTGTATTTCTGAGAAATACCAGACCCTTAAAAGTTTATTTCTAAACTTTCTATAGCATACGTACACGAAACATATAAGAACTATAAGAACCCGTCTCTTCAATTGAGGGACTCCACATTCTAGAATGCAGATTCACGAACGAAACTGTCGCACCACCCGCGCAGAAGTTAGATAATGAACAATAACAGCAGCCATGCTATTTTCTGGACTCCAAGACCTTATCAAAGACTGTATTGAAACGGCTGAAGACGTCAAGACATTTGATTGTCCTTTTGTCCGAATTTCACTGTGAAGGGACCGAAACAGCCGTCGCTGCCGAAACGCCGATGAGGTTGGGCCGGGAGAAAGGCTGCCCCACAAGGATGCTTCTAATGGACCGGGCGACAGCGCCCAACCTAATGATCAATATCTTACAACATTGGCCAGTCCTGTTGTTTCTTCCGCTTTTCTGCACCATCGTGGCTGTCTTGTTGACAGCTTAATTACGAACTGCAGGAGCCAAATTGCACGGATTTGCTGCGCGGGATTAATGCCAAGATGCACGGATACAAAAGATCTTGACACAAAAGAAACCAAGTTGCAGGAGCATTAAGCTGCACCCGAAAAAAACATGTGAAAGCGCGCAGCGCAGACTACACAAAAACCAAATGTGATGCGGTTCTATCTTGAGGCTAATAACACGTGTGTGGGTTGAGGGGCTGTTTGAGGTTTTGTGCCTGGTTTCTCCTTCCCCCCATTCAGGAAACCTTGTGGTGACGTGAAGTGAAATACACGTCAAAGCCTATTCTCTTCGCCTTTCTCTAACCAAGTAAGAGGGGAATTCCGTCCCTGTCATTCTCGGCAGAACAGCGACGGATATTTACTGAACGTGGCTCAGTAGGCTGAAATATGATTTCTTTTCAGATTAATGCATCTTTGAAGTTTTCCCAAATCAAACAACGTGCAATCCCAATTTCTAATCTTTAATAGTTAACACCATTTTTCATCTTTTCCCTACTCCCGGTCACTGAAAAATACCCCTTTTCCCAGCGCTCCATATAAAAAAATTACAGCGAGAATAGAAGGTGCAAAATGTTTTCAAAACGTGTCAAAACTTGTGCACTCTACAAACTTAACATAATGGCTCGGCACAAAAAGTGCTTTGTAGTGGTTTAAAAAATGTCTCCCACCATCAGTTGTCGAATTCTGGGACTGAGGAATCACCTGACGCACTTCAGATAGAAGATCTTGTCATGAATTGTCCTTAGATGAAAAAGAACGAAGTTACATGTAAACATGGTCCTTGGAGTTCCAAGATCAAATCATCTCAGAGACAGGGGAGGGCGTTGTTGCTTTATATTCCTTTATTTGGTCAAGGGCCTACCTGTAAAAAGTCCGTTAATCATCTTACTTTCTGTTTAAAATCGCACGGTGGTGTGGCCAAAGGGGGAAGGTAGCAACTCTCCCTGTAGGAACTTTTTTCCCGCCCCTCTGGAATTTTAGATTTGGGGGGAGGGCGGAGCTGTCGCCAAGCCATCTTTAGTGTCTTGATATGATATGTGGACATAATTATACTTAATTAACAAGGTTCTTGAAAGAGCCGTCCCATAACAAACTCAGTGCCGTAGCTGGGGGGGGCATGCACTGCCCCTCGTGGGAACTCTTACCCCCTCTTGCCCACCCCAAGACTGCCTGGCTACGTCACTGGAAACACATAAATCATGACGTGGCCTCTAATCAATATATATCGTGTAAATGTTTTATTTTAGCGGATCCATACTGGTGACAAACCGTTCAAGTGTGAATTGTGCGGCCGAGCTTTCAGGCAACCAGGCAACTTGACCCGCCATCGATTGACACATACCACCGTCAAGCCCTACGTTTGCCAACAATGCGGCAAAGTAAGTCAACCGCGCCATTTTATTTTCGGGCAGGAGCTTAATAATCATATACATGTACCACAGATTCCATGAAACTGGAATATATTTGATGTTCAGATAAAGAAAACAGGTCACGAATTAATAAACTAGATAGCAAAATAAGGCATAGCGCATCCAAAGTTACACGGCTAAAATGACTATGTAAACAAGGCAAAGAACGGCAGTAAATATGAATGTGTCGATTCCAGTATAGGATTATTTTTTTTAAGTTCACGGTCAGTTTCAACAAGCGTTTACGCAATGACATTTGCAAGAAGGTTATGTCAGGAAGAGCCAATCTTACCCCAACTATCATAAAGACTGAAAAAGCAACAAATCAAACACACAAAATAGTAGTGGATGCCGCAAATCGATTTCAATCATACTCCTCTTGTTAATTTGAAGGGAAATTAGATTGACGTAACTTTTCACGTGAAAGTGTCCTTATTTGGGTTTAACAACGGCTTTTTAATGTTTTGTTTGTCTTTAATTAACAGGCTTTCAATCGCGCCTCCAACCTTCACACACACATGCGGACTCACACTAACTACAAACCATTTACTTGCCAATACTGTGGCAAGGGATTTCACCAAAAAATTGATATGAAGATTCACTCTTATACTCATACGGGTAAGCTGTACTTTTTAACTAAAACATAATGCTTCGAAAAGCATTCGACCATTTTATTTGATTGATTTTTTGTCGTGGATAACTGCAAACGGGTTTAACATTTTGGTTGTTGGGATCCAAGCAAAGATCTTCCCCAAAGTGGACCCCCCCACATACAAAAATCCTCCTGATCTGCTACTTCTCCATTGCGCCCATAAGGCGATTAGTTAAACCTGGATATAGTAAGTTGAACAGGTTTTCATATATAGTTTTTACATAAATACTTTTTCTTAATTTTAATCAATTAGGTCTGTGGGAATGGTCACCGCCCCTTCATGTATCTGTCTCTGGCACTGGGTTTTTGCCATGTCTACAAAATGGATATAATTTCTAGTTAAAAATATTGCATGTCCAATTCAGTACAATCTGTTTTACGATTTGTATTGCCGATAGGTGAGAAGCCACATAAATGTAAGAAGTGTGGGCGTGGTTTCAAGCAACTGACTCATCTGACTTATCACATGCGCACTCACTCCGACATTAAAATGTACACCTGCGCATACTGCGGTAAAGGATTTAACCAGAAGGGGAATTTACAAGCACACATCTACGGACACACAGGTGAGAATGAACCCACAACGTTGTTTACTGATATGGCAGGCTAAATTAAACGCTATCATAATCATTTGTTTTCATACGAACTCACTGAGTGTTTAAACTATTGACTATCAGTGCCAGAAAGCACGATGGTGCGTTCCTACTTGTTACCCGTGATGATGAGCGACCGTGTTAAAGGTTGGCTGCAATCAATTTGTTTGAATACAAACCGTCAACAAATGCACCGTTATGTCTCAGTTTACCTGATTTTCCACTTTCGTTTCACTTTGTCAAAGCGTATTTTACTGCATATTTTTGTTTTTATGCTAGTGAGTATTCCGATGTCATGAAGAAAGTTTCAATATTACATTGGTCTCTACACACAAAAATCCTTTCAAAATCCAAATAAAAAAACCCGCTTTCTCAGGCTGTCAGACAATTCGATTGTCTTGTTTGTCAATACTTAAATTTTATTTGCTGATCTCATGTATTTTTGCATTATCTCTTGGTGTTTGGAAAACGAATGATATATAAATACAATCCTATCAAATCAAACCAAATCAAATATACCATTCCTTTCCGCTCCAGGTGAGCGTCCATATCATTGTGAAATATGCAATAAAGGATTCACCTTAGCGAGTACATTGAACACCCATCGACGGACACACGCAGACAAGAAGCCGTATGCTTGTCAATACTGCGGCAAGGACTTCTACCAGAAAAATGCGCTGAAAAGTCACATGATATCATCTCATCCATACACCGGTGAGAGCTTGTTGTAGTATAGTACTTCCCCCAATACTTGACTGCACGGTACTGCTTTAGTAACCCCGCTTGATGACGTGGTGATGTAGGAATAATAGGTAGGTTTTTTTAATAACATTTTTTGTTTATAGAATCAGACACATGCCAGCACACAATCATTTATATCGTTTCAAATTGTCTGGTGAACTTACGACACTTGAAGCCTCATATCTTCTATGTAGGATGACAAGCGATTTTAATGTTTTGTTTGAAATTATATTTCATTATTGGAGTTTCTATGTGTCTCAGGGTGAATTCAATTCGCTTAGACCATGCCATGACACTTCCTTGTTGCAGTAAAAATATTTTGCTTCAGGTTGTTTTTTTCTGTTGAATGCATTAACATGTAGATTTAACTCTTGTCAGTTGAGCGATTGAAAACATTTGCTACGGTAAATGGGAAAATTTGTTTCGTAGAAAACTGTCAAATCTTCGCACATTAGTTTGTTTTCAAAGCAATAGTTTTGACAGAAATCGGAACAACGGTTCATGAAACATTAACTGATAAATCACGGGCAGTATGCCTCCTCAAAACAGGCCGACTCAAAACAAACAGTTTTTTATGAATCTGTAATTTCTTATTGAAATAGCAGCAAAATATATTTTTGAATGCCTTGTATGTGCACCTTTCAAACCATTTAACCTTATTCAAGGGAATTTAGTTGGCTTCTGAATTTTACGAAAAAAAATTGTACAAATTAATAAGCAAAAGACAGCGTGATGTCATTTCAGGAAGAAGTCTCAACAGAGGCGGATCCAAGATGTTCCCAAAGGGTGGGTGGGGGGCGTGATCCCGGATTTGCCAAAAGGGGAGCGTGAACAAAAATAGCAATGGTGAATGCCCGCGAGCGCGTAGCCCGAAGGCCTTACGGAGTGGGATCCGGGACATTTAAGATTCTAGGTGCTCTGCGGTGCAATTTCAGGCAGTGTGACCCCTCTTTTTTCTTCTCCGTTCCTCTTTTTCCTTTCTGATTTATTTATTTTATTTTGGTGAAAAAGGGGGGCGTGCGCCCCCTTTTCCCCTGGATCCGCCCCTGCTCAAGGTTGCAGCTACCATAACACTAAAAATCTGCCAATATTTCTGACATTAATGTGCCGTCTTAAACTTTGTTTTCTTTGGCGTTTTATTGTACTTTAACACTTGTGAGACAAATTTAGGGTTTCACAATTTGAGCAGAAACCTCCGAATGAACCGTGTCATCCAGAAATATGACATCACAGCAATAGCACTGATATTTGTCTGGAAAGTGTGGATTTATTTTCAATAATTAACCAGAAAGGGGTGTTCAACATTGAAATACATCCAACTTGAGTGTAAAAATGCACAGAATACTTACTAAGGTAAAACAACCTGGACCCTTAAGGTTCTCAGAATTAACTGTGTTGTGGCTTAATAGTTTATTGTTAACGGCGTCTTGCATATCGTACGCTCAACTAAACTAATGGTTAATATATGTATATAATACAAAATAATGCCGCAGATTGCAAGCTAATAAACTTAATCTTTAGTTTAAAACTTTAACTTAATACATGTATTTGATGTAACCTTTGAAACAGGAACATATCTTTCACGGGTCTTGAGTTATTACCGAACATAGTCTATTCTCTCTCTAAAACGTGCAATTTATTGTTGCTTACTTAACTTCTTGCCAAAAGTTGGTAACAATGTCAAATCACTGTTGTTTGGAAATTTCCCACTGTTCAAATTTTGTTCAAATTATCCAACAATTGTGTATTTTCCAACTAAACCCAATAAACTTCCAACAGTATAAAAAGTATTCAAAATCAACGGCACTGCAATGTAATGGGCTTGGAATGTCAGATTTCGCTTAGGCCTGGTTTTCATGGATGTATGTGCACCTGTATAAAAAATTTTCAAGTTGTAGTTGTTAGGCAATCGTTGTGACGTACTCTTTATATTTATTTATTTGTTACGGGCATTTCACAATAGTGCGCCTCCAAGAGTTCGCAACGCGTTGGCCAATCACAATACACAAAATCTGTCGACCCAAAGCGCATTTGGAAAGGGTCGACAGATTTCGTGGGTTGTGATGGGCCATCGCGTTGCAAACTCTTGGAGGCGCACTATTGTGAATCGCCCGTATTCGCAGCAAAGTGATGAATATCCGTCACTCCGCGTGAATGCCGATGTTGGTATCTAAAATTCGAGGCAAGGGTGGGCATCCACCTGGTGGATTGATTGGAAAACGTAGCTTTGGCATAACGTTTTATCACTTTTAACTACTATTTCTAGATATACACAAAGGTCTAAAAGTATAACCAAGTGTAATACATAATTACTTCGAAGTTATCATGTGCTTGTAATCGGTGCTTTAACCACAGAACAATAAAACTTGATATGTGAAAACCTCAAATGTTGTATAACACTGCGAGTATTTTCGCCTTATTCCATCATTAAGATCATGCTACATAAAACAGCAAATTTCAATCTCTTCCTGTAAAATGCTTGGCGCTTCCCATTCATTTTGCAAGACACCATTTCCCCGTTTTCCAAGCGGGTATTTCTTTCGCACTTACACGAATTGCTATCTCAATATCAATTTTAAAGAAATGGTGCTAATTGTGCTCAAAACACGACCACGTCTACATTTACTCCTGGGCAGCGAGCCAAATGGTATACACCGACAAAAATTAGCTGAACCCTTCTGTCCTTTATCTGAATTCAATTGCATTAAGCAAGTTATTTCTTTCGCCTGTTTATTGAATTGAATTTGCAGGAGACGTACTTCGTGGGAAATCCGTTATAAACTACAATATAAAAACCATAAGTCAGAATGTTTTTACGTTATGCAAATTCTTCCTCTTTTTAATACATGGAATGAGGACCGATATCCTTCATTTGCACGTACATGTCACTTTCACAAATGAGACCAGTCCGAAATATCGACAGGCAATATGCATCTGTTAATTTGCTTCTTCGCTGAACAATAAGCAACTTACTGCCGGCCAGCGAACAATCACAAATCAACGCCGGCCGATGATTATCTCCCGAAGGCCTTTCATTTTCCAGCAGGCGAACAGCGCTAATTAGAGCGAACCACAGATTGTCGGAGAGGTGTCACGGCGCAGTGTAATGTAGTCACCTGTGCTGCATTCAGACATGGTTATTGATCGGGTGGCCGCAAGTCATTACATGATGTGCATTACGTACTTCGTCAGCGCATCACAGTCCTCTTAATTGACTTTCATCCCTGCATCGAGAAGAAAGGATGCAATTAAAAATATGTCCTGTAATTTTCCTAGCAACTTTAAAAACATGCACTGTGAGCGGATATTAGACCAACAACACACCATACCAGTGTAAGTGGCGCCAGAAAAACGTGATACAAAAAGGCATCCCATCATAAACCAAATAAACATGTCTTGCATGATTTTTTAAAAAAGGAATTTAGATTTTTAAGCGACACTTAAGTTATGATATTAACCACACTGTTGGCATGCATGCGATTATTAAGCGTTTGATCAATTTGTTCCAATTTAGAAAAAAATCAGCTTGAGTCTTTGCAAGTTGGGAGGTCCTTTTTTCAATGCTATATTGATATGCCTTGTTAGAAGAATGACGAGATGTGGACAACTTTTTCATAACTATAAAAGTGTGGAAGTCCCTGCATGCCACGCATAATGGCAGTAATGAAATTCCACACGAAAGCCATGTCTTGTAGAACGGTTGATCTATAAAGAAAACAACAACCGCATAGTTACCTTCTTCCCTCCCCTACAACCCAAACTCCTCGTCGAAAGAGTACTATTTGGTCGTCCATGAGAAACTTTGGATAAACCGCACTCTGCTGATTGCCAGCTGTGTGTATTGGGAGTGATGAATCGCTATATCTTACGGGCAAACTATTACTGACTCTGCTTTGCCAGTGGCAATGGTAGCAGGATGACGGTTGCTCAAATTGCTGGCGCTTCCGGTCTCACTTTTTAATTAAGGTCGGAGAGAAAGCCAGAGAGTCGTTACATAATTCATTGATTGGTGGCTTCATGGAGCCTGCACTGTCCACAATGACCACGCTTTGTTCTACTGAAATCTGTGAGCTCAGTGCACGGCCGTCCATTCAATCATTACGATTGAATATTGACACTCGTCGGTACCTGTTTAAACAATAGCATTCGACTGAGCAACAAAGAGAGAGAATTGAAGCGACCTCCTGAGAATTCCTTGTCTTTTGTAATGAGTCCTGAGCCTAATTGTTAAGACGAAAGTCGGCGACGCAATCCAAATTAAACTTGAGACCAATGTGCTGCCTGAATTATAATTAATGAAGCTAAAAGCTGTCGAATGGGATTGGGTGGATGCTGGAACAGGTGCACAGATGGGAAAGGAAAACAAAACAAACGCAGGTTTTCTGGAGGGGAGGACATTATATACTATGTGACACAAAATTTCCTGAGGAAATATGTACTGCATGTTTGGGAAGCAGCTCGTTCGTTCGAACTCAACTAACTACTACCCACTCCCATCCCTGGGATTTATTGTCCACGCGCCGGCTCAGGTGAATTGTGGAACAGAGAACACACTTTGCTGTAAAACTTCATGGCTCATGTAAATCCTTTATTATTACCTTTGCCTTAGAAAGTCTGGCACTTCGTTTCCGTCCCAGGGGTAATGGTGTAAGCAAAGTTGAATCATAAGAAAAATGCCTAACGGCGGCATACAGGTACACGTGTATACTATGGTGCCAAATGCCACAGATGTGCAATGTGTGACTTGATGATTTTCTTTACTCGAAGGGATGCTTCATCTCAGAATGTGTCTGTTTGGGCCCTAAGATATACGACCTCCACAAAGCAATATAAAGATCACTTAAAATAGAATACTGTAGTCCATACAGCTTTTCGGAAAAATCGCAGGTTTTAACGGTAATGGCTGTCAGAAGAGTTTTGAGGGTTAAAACCAAGGCCGCGTCAAAAGTCCTGTCTGGGGCTGAAACATGCCCGATGGGTCTTCCCCAGTTACAAAGGCATGGGCACATAATGATAATGTCGAACCCCCTGGCCGTGGCTTAACAGGGGGATTGGGTACACGCCCCCGTGCTTGAAGCATGTAGCCCATATGCCCCCAAAAATGCCCTCAAAAATGTTTAACTGTGACCTGAACCACTTAGTACCCCTTCAGAAAATGGAAGCCCCGTTCTCCCTGGTACCCCAGTTACGCCACTGAGCTCTAGAATAAATTTTGACACAGTTAATATGACCCCCGAAAACTGGGCCGTTGGAGTTCTAGTCGCAGCTTAAGTCACACATCTGTCCTTCAGAGAGTTGGGTGTGTAATACATCAAAACGTTTTCTTATTACTTTCGCGTCCACACTAAAGTAATAAAATACCCCAAGTGTGATTTTCACACCAGTACTACGTCGTAGCGTATCTAATAAGCGGTGATTATGCCTTTTGTATCAGTGTCTCTTATGTATGATACGGTAAATGAAAAAAATGCATAACGACGCAATGCCAGGAGGCAAGAAGGTAGCAAAAGCATCGGCGACGCCACGATTTTTCTGGGGGCGCTTTTTTCCAGGCAGAAAATTCCCGGGAAAGGCGTCAAAGCAAAGTTCTTTTGCTCCCCCTTTTGGCCGTTTTTAAAAGTTGTGGACGCTTGGCGACGAGCTAATGGTTCGTACTGATAGCGCCCTCTTGCGGCGGCGAATGCAGGTTTTCGCGAACATCTACAACAGAAGTCCTATTACAGTAGAACAATTCGCCACCGATAGCCCTCGAGCAGAAGCACCCCCTCATCGGGTGAAAAGAGTCATGTTGGTAAGGGTTTTTTATTTTGTTGGTAGAGATGCGACCGTATCGTGTGCATTTCCTAATCGTTCGTCTGTGCCGACCAAAGGAGCCTCCGTTTCTAAGAACATTGCGCTCTCTATAGGTCCAGCTTGAAGCTCATAGTTCCTTCCCCTATCTCCTAAACGTTACGGTTTCTTATGTTAGAAAAAAATGAATGACCAAATATTGGGATAGAGAAAAGACACGACCTCTAATACTAAACCTTAAATACTCTATGATACTTGTACAGAAAGAGAAGAAAAAGAAATAAACGTCCTAAACACAAAACATATTTCCGTCTTTTTGTTGAATTTGGAAGAAAGAGAAGTTAATGCATAAATTGTCTGTCATTTGAGAATTAATTTCATGGTTCTGAGGGCTAGGCATTCTGACGCGACACAGCCTATCAAATACACAGAAAAACTGACACTGGTTGTAACTTGAGGGCGTTTTACAATAACACTTGTCAGGGCTCTTTATACAGAGACTTGCGACATGAGTGTCTCAATTTGTGGAACCAAAATGGTGGATTATGCATCAGTTCACAGGGTCAATTAGCACACAGTGGCTGCATGCTGTAGTGTACACGTGATGAACAGTTATTTTTCAGGTAAAAAATGAATGACCAAATATTGGGATAGAGAAAAGACACGACCTCTGATACTAAACCTTAAATACTCTATAATACTTGTACAGAAAGAGAAGAAAAAGAAATAAACGTCCTAAACACAAAACAAGTTAACCAAACTAAATTTATAATAGTATGGGGGGTCAGACAAAAGCCGAAGCTTGCACTGGGTCTGCCCCCTGCGAGGAGAGTGAGTGCAAATGTGATTTACACAATTCGTAGGAAAAATATTAATTACACTGAAGTGTGGAGGTCTTCATGACTTAAGTTTAATAAATTGATACGTAGAGTCTGAAGTTGGCGCTTCTCAAGCTCTGACCCTTGTCAGCTCTGACACTTGCCAGCTCTGATACTTGCCAGCTCTGACACTAGTCTTGTCAGAAGCATAGTTAAAAGTCCCTGGAAAGGGTCGACTGGTATAAGTGATAGCTTGAAAACTGACGAGGGCTCTTCTGAGCCACGTTCAAAAGGCTGTACCGAAGTACTTGTTACGGACCCCAAATGTCCCTAGTAACTGTGGACGATGAACTGGGGGCTGGTTATTTGCAAATGTGGAATGTTAAGCTGAAAAAAGTGATTTTTTTGGGAGAAAACTTATCTCTTTGTGGCGATAAATCAATACTTTACCCTAACAGTCCGAAATCCTCCGATTTCAATATGATTTTACATACACCCTAGGGGGTTATGGTTACCAAAGATCCCGCAGAGGTGACCAAATCTATGTTTGCCAACAAAGAAAGAACAGTGAAAGAAATGTAAATGTTAACTTTGTTTTTCCACTGTGAATGCACAAAAGAAGACGCATGGTTTCATTTTACTCAAACGAGGAAAACTGTATTAACTTAAACACAGAAGTTTCAGTAACCAATTATAATTATTTCGAGTTTGACTATCATTTTCCCAACACAACATTATGGCGGCGTAATAATGCTCGTACTCTGACGGACGCACAGGAATCGAAACGAAAGCGCTCGACTTCAGCCGAGTTTACTTAATTCCCACGTCCTACGGAATTTGCGAGAGCATGAACACGTGCGATTAATTTTCTTGCAGAGGAGTATTTCTTCCTGCATCGCCCTCTCATTAAATGGTTTGCAGAACCCCTACTCAGTTGACTTCGCGGGTCAATGATTGATGTGTCGATTGCATGGGAACAAGTCGAACGGGTTTCGCCTCGCCAGCCGCTGCGCCGCGACTGTTTCTTGCTCCGTGTTCATAGCATGAAAAGAACATGGTCAGGCCGAGCAACCCCAGTCAACCCTGTCAGGGGACAAAGGTAATGCTATCTATGAGTAACTGGTCATGGCACTAAAATGTAGAAGGGTTCTCGACCTTGACTGTTGCTAGACTTCAGAATGTGCTCCAGGGATCCTTCACTCTATTATTCTTTACCATGTGGTTCACCTGTGATTCTACACGTCGTACAGAACTGCATCCACATATGAATCTCGACACTACCCATGTGTGCGCGTACTTGTCTATTCGTGCCCACGTTCATTCACGTTGACGGCAAAACTGCTCAAGTTGTGCACAGGTATACGTGCAAGTGTTCTCAGTGTGGGAGCTATTCAAGTCTCTTCAACGTTACATTATACGAAAACCAAATAATCAAGACTTGTTTCAACTTTGACACTAATTCCACTGCAGCTGTGGTTTGATTCTTTCCGTCCTGGTGCATGAGCAGATTTCTCAGAAAGTTTTGTGCTGTACCGTGGATGAAGCCATAGTTGTACTAGTAGAGACTTACTTTGGACTTACTCGGGCGGAACCGCGTTCTCTTCAAGACTGTGTTCGTCGTGTGTGGATTGCTGTCAGTCCCAGCCGACCGTGGCCAGACCATGAAGCTGCGGTGTAATTGAACAATGGTGCTTGTGTTGTGTACCGGCCTATCCATGTTTCAAAGTTGTAGTTCGGTGATACGATGGATCGCTAAAACCAGTCATAAGGCTGGTGTTGAAGACTATCCCTTAAGTCGCGAATAGGGAAACCGTATGATCGACCGTCGTCGTAACTATACTACTAAAGCAACAAGATGAGTCGAATGTGGAGTTTTCTTTGTATCCTCCTTGCATGTCAAGGGACACTCGCACAGTTTTACTCCAGCAACGAAATACGTCGTTTCTCGAGGGATGTCGGTTCGGACATGAATGGAATGCATAGTGCGATATACAGCCGGGAGGAAACCCGCGAAATACAAGAGGAAATCCTCAACCTTTTGGGCTTGAAGCGAAGACCGCGACCTGAAGCAGTCAAAAGCACGCAGAATCATTCGGCGCCATTGTTTATGCTGGATCTTTACCGTTCCTTGAATATCAAGGAGTTTGAAGATGAGGATTTGGAGTTGTATTTTCTGTCAGACGACTCGGTACCGTGGATGCCTGGTACTATGTTCAACTACACGCTAAATGAGGTATCAGCCGTAAACCAAGCCGATACAATCATGAGTCTTCCAGGTAACTTAAACTCATCTCGTTTGAAGTTTAGTTTTGTTCTTCATGTGCATACACAATTGTACACTTAAACTTATGGTCATGATGGCCATGACTTTGTTCACACATTATTAATGTAAGAATTGTTGGATCTGGTGGCTCCACGCGTATGACATTCAAAGTTAATTTACACTCGAGCCCAAAACATATAAATAAGAGCTTAACATTGTAAATGCTCTGAATGTGTGTGAAACTCTTTCAAGACGACCTCAGCATTAACAACAATGTGTAATTTCAAAGACACATTTTATTTAAACCAAGTTAGTTTAGGAGAACAAGCCATGATAAACCCAGCCATTGTCAACGGGTCAGTAATATCTTTCTGCTGTTGAATCAGAGGCTAGTACACGTGGTTAAATTGTCACCACTGGTGATAGAAATCGTCAGTCATCAGTGCCCTATGTTTTTTTATTTTGGCCATTTTACGTCAGACTTCTTAACTTTGCTAAATGTTGCAATGAAGTGGCTAAACTTGTGGTGTCATTTTCTTAACTTCGATTTTTCAATAGTTCACATACATGTACATATATCCAAGTCATGTCCTCTCCTATTCATTTCGTTTTAGTAAGTGTTAAGACTTGGTGCACCTATACACGATTCATATTGAATCACGATCGAATAGACGTTCTTTTCATATAGACTCAGAGTAGAATATGAGCGCACATGCCCTCGCACTAAAAGAACTCTTTGGCACGAATTTGATAGGAAGCTATATAAAGACTTCGCAACCTTGGAAATCCGCTGCCCACGAATGATTTATTCGTATCTAACTTCCCGTGAGGATTAACGGTGAAATGGTAGGCTGTTTGGTTGTGGTGAGGCGCGCTGTGTGTAAAGCACGGCATGCTGCGTCTGCATGAACTGGGTATTATGCAGACCCGCGGGGTTGATGTTTGACCTCCCCACCTGTCATATGGATGGAAACCAGCTGCCTAGCTAATTAGCCTACTTATTGTAACCCAGCAAGAAACCCTTTTGCGCAGACACCACACAATCGCAGTACCACTATACGAACACAATAATGCGATCTGTGTGAAGAATGTTGGCAGAAAGGGGACAGTTTTCAATACATTGCAGGCTTTTTTTCAAATTGAATGTTAGTGCAGGTGCATCGAAAGAATTTTACAAGAAAAAGAGGAAAAACTGCAGCCCTATAATTGCATCATCATAATAATAATGGGTTATTTAATGTCACAAAGCGTATATTTTCGTAGTTTTTACCGTAAAATAATGCTTCATGAAACGTCTTTATCGAGCAACTAGAATGGACAGCAAAGAACCCCATGCATGGATCTTTTAAAAGGGCAATCAATGCATTGCAGTTTTCCACCGCAAGCCTTGATCACGCATCTCAATGTTCAATTAACATATTTTAGTTTTTTTGTCCGTTTTAAAATGCATTTGATGCCATTTTGTTTCGGGGTTTGCTGATGCGAATGTCCATATTTATGAGCAAAATTGTAATGTCGTCTCGGGAGAAAACCCTCAATGTTGTGTTGTAGTTTTGTTTTTGCACAAAACTCTACTGGAATAGGTAATATTTTGCTGTTCCTTTTGTAATTGATTGTGTAAGTATATTGCCAATGGATAACCCTTTCGCAGAAATGTTTTCAGGGAACAAATTTCGGGTCGACAATTCGAACAAAAAAAAATCTTCACAAACTACTGAACCCATAAAACTGATTGATATCACAGCAATAACTCCCGATGTTGTCTAGAAAAGCACACACAATTGTAAATGTTGAAAACAGTACCCCACAAAATGCCACAGAGGATAGTCAAATAGTATTTTGCATTGTAAAAGAGTAGCACAGAATGCATCTTTGGAAAAAAACTAGTCTGGACCCTCTTATTTGTCTACCTAATGGTCAAAGTTGACATCATGGCCGCTGTACCCGATATTTCATATTGCCTTTGAGACAAAGTAGAGAACTTTGAACTCTGAAAGATAAACTTGGAACAGACAATCAGTAAGTTGGACACATTCACGGCATCATGGTCGCTAGCAAACTACAAGTGGGAGTCGATCAGCACTGTTGCTGATCGAATCACTATGCAAGTATGCCAACTCCGGGACTAGCCCAATTAACATGTTATGCTGGCAAATTTGCAAAGCAAACAGAGAAGACTCGGTTAGACATTGTGGGTGAGGATGCGGATATTGTTGATTAATAAGAAGTCGTGATGACGGTGGGTAGTAATTGAGCTTGGCATCCTGAAGTCGAGATGAGTCACAGGCTATATCCCATAGTGCTAATCTTATTCACTCAACACTTCGTGTCGCTGACATTCGAAGTTGATCGTAGCGTGGCGCTGATTTTTTGCATGCTATTCACTGGAGACACTGAGAGAGCGTCCCCCGTATCAGTGTACCCGCTACTGTACGATTCATTGGCTCCATGCTCCAATTAAGGATGATCCACCTTCTTTCGAGTTTTAGAAGGAGTTCATTTGATGACTTCTGGGGGGATCTCTGCGGAGATGACCCACCCGTTAGGCACTTCAGAGGCTCACGGCTATTTGTATTTGATTTCACAAATGATCCCTCCATTCTGTCGCAAAATACAAATTTTGGGTCCTCTTTCATAAAATGTCTGAGAAGCACATGCCCACAGAGCTTTGATGAAATCATGCTTTACAGACTCTAAAAGTGCTTGGACTACAAAACTTTCGATTCCTTTTTTTCAGAGCATGCAAATGTTGATGTGATCGGTGAGGGCGAATGAGTTCATATTAACCTGAAACTCTGATGAAGTACACATAGCCCTAGGCCACAATGACAAAACGTTATTTTCTGCATTGCATTTCATAGAATAGACACCCGAGGATGAGGATTATTGAAGGATTATTTGTCGATGAATTATGTCAAAGGGACTTTGATACTCTATCCACACAAGCCATTTGGCGTTTGAATTGGAGGATTCTTGTTGGGTCCAATTTCTAATGCAGCCAATTTCTAATGCGCCAAAAAGCAACCAGTTTCTCCTTTACATAACCATTAACTCACACTGTCCATTCTCATCAGTCAAGAATTTTTTTACGAGGAGGAGTATTATATTCAAAGTGGCCGTAATCTTTTTGATCAAAAATGACTCTCAGCTCAAGAAAGTTAATGTAATCGACCAATTTATAATTCATTAATTTGCTCAACCCAAAAAGTCGTTATAGCTGCGATTTAGTATCAATTTAGTGTTTTGCTACGATATTAAGCGCGTCAAGACTGTTCAGATATTCATCCATGTTTCTTTAATGTAAACTTGCGAAGGTCCAGCGTGTGTAAATCCTTTGTCTCTCCTCATTTTTTTTCTCAAGCCAGTGCTGACAACTTTGTATAATTTGTGTGTGTGTTAATTTGTTTTTTACATGCTGTTCTAATGATATCGATGACAACGCTCACTCTAAAACTGAAGGAACATGAGCGCTCTGCGTCTTTATTTTAGTACGAAGATAGACAGTCAACCCCTGACTTGGCACCACGGGCAGCATTTAACATGTTTCTTTGAGACGTCGGGGAATTTCGAAGCAGGAAGACCAGTGTAGCTTGTGGTCTGCACTTGGATTGTCGATCAGTGGTCGAGCGTGTTGTCGATTCTTAGTTTTGGCGAGCACAAGTGGGTCTTTCTTCTGTTCTGCATGGATAGTGTTAGGATCACTTGTCACCTGGTCTTGTATCATGGAGGAAGGTTGTATGAACACCCCAAACGCCCGAGTATTTTGTTCTTCTGGCATGTACATGTACAGTACTTCATTGAATTTACAAGTGCATAGTGTTCCAAACAGAGGCTGGATTTATTATCCTATTGTCCTCTAGTGATTGCCTCTTCGTGCATATGTGTAGTTATATATACATGTGCTACCACTCTAGGATAGCATGCATTTTTTGTTTTAATATTTCAAATGTTAAACATGTATCTCAAGTAGAAGAGTCAAAGGTGCCTATATACTTTCGATTCTGAAAAATTGATAATACTCTAAATATTTACAGATTATCAGTCATCCAAGGTTTTTTTGTTGTTTTGACTGAAAGGCTTCTCTTTCTCTGTGACTTAGATTTCGCCCAGCTGGGGTTGGTTTGAATCCCATTCTTGGGTTGATGTGATTGTGACCGCGACCGACTGGTGCAAACTATTCCTCTTGCCCTAGAAAAGATGTTAAGAAGGATGACACCTTTGAAGTGGATTTTTATGAGATACAGAAATCAAACTTGAAAATATATGCCTTGAAAATAAACTTTGAAAAAAATGTATTTCATGAAAACGAACGTAATCAAAAGTATATCTTGTACAAAGTGATTTGCTTCAAAAAACAGAAAAAAAAAAATTCTAAAAGTAGATTCCATTAGAACAAACTGGACAATACGAATCTCGTGCAAACGAACTTTGGAAAAAAAGAGTAAAATGTAGTTGAAAAATATTCATGAAAACGAACTTCCGAAAAACTACACTCCACGTTTTAAAATACTTGATGGCACCGCAGGGCATCGATGGCGTAACACACAGTACTGGTAATGCGTATGGAAAATGTCCATTGCATGATTCCTTTAAAGAAGACCCGCTGTTTCGTCTTCATGCAAAGCCGTCTGGCATTTTGTACGAAGAGCGACACTGCATGCCGTGCATTTTTTTGGTAGGCCCAAAGAAATATGGCGGTGTACTCGCCCAGTACATCAGTCTGAATATTTTCTGTCACGTGATCTGCAATTCATCATGAAATCAGGGTTGCGTTCAGTAATGAAAAACTTAACTTTGCGTACGTATGCACACCACAATAAAGGTATATGTACAGGGTATGACAATACCGGCGTATATATTGTTCTTCTGAACGTGCCCCTGATGATAAAATTTATTCGGGTTTTGTGCGAAAGTGAATGATTTAAATCGTCATGGTTATAATTATTAACCAAAAGGTCAAAGGACTACAGTGAACCAACACAAGATGTATCTCTGCAAAACGTTTGACCGCACATTCTATTTTCAGACATGAAAAAGGCCGCAGAAGTCACGGTTGATGTGAGAGCTTTTGATAAATTTCATAGCAAACGGCAAATTAGCAGCTAAAATTTTACCGACTGTAAACTTGTCTACCACTGACGTTTACTTACTAAATTTGTGACGCAAAATTTTCCGTATGGCAGGTCAGTGAAACTGTACCTGTTACGAAATCATTAATGTTATGGAATACCTTATAAACCTAATCTTTGAACAAGTCTTTAATTTAAAAACTAGGCGTTGTGACGGTGGTAATGTCTTGCATATGCTGACAGATGATTAGGGTTTATGCACACTATTATTATCTCACTCATTTGGAAAGAAAACAGGCCAATTTAACGGGTCCCATGTACGTTTAAAAAGTGCACGCATGTGCTATTTTTCTTTCACATCTTTCATTGCAGTCATCAGTCATGCCAGCACTCCAGCTCAGATCCTGACCCACGCTCCAACATAAATAGTTGTTTCGGCCTTTCTCATTCCGCATCCAAATGTAAACACAGCACAGTTGGCCTTCTTGTGGGCGTTTCCGGGTGGCCTGCTGAGTTGCTGAAAATATAACTCGGCACGTATTGCACCTGGGCAGTCTGCTTTTCCCTCCCTGCAGCCTTTTTCGCGACCTAGGGTTCTATACTGGTTTCTGATGGAGGATTCCTGGTGCTTTCCAAGGAGGAGTTGGGTTATGAATATGTAACAGCACATTCACTGGTTCGGGTTACAGTATGAAGCTTTCATTGCATTCAACTGAATGTCAACATTACGTGAATTCCGAAGACATAACAATAAATATTACTTGACTAAAATTTATCAGTTATCTTTATCAATCTTAAACAAATACTTTTATATTCCTTCATGTGTCAATTTAAGGCTGTTAAACGCACATGAATCAAATACATGTAGTAGAAACTGGGATGGATATTGCACGAAGACTTTTTATACTTGATTAATGTGGTGATAGTTATTCGGAAAAAAAACATTATGAAAAATTATAAAAAGATAAATATCTTTCAATTTTGTACACACCTGGTAGAGCTTATGTGGAATTCTAATTTAAAAGATTGTTGTTATCCCCAAACAGTTAAATGCAAGGCCTGCTCAAAAAAAGAAAACTTTGGTTTATTTTCAAAAATTCTTGATTTAGAACATAATTTTGCTCTGCTCGTAGCAAAGAAAATACAGACACAAATTTCCCCCGTGATTTACATACACGAAGGATGTGTGAAAAAGCGTGAAACTGTACCTGAATTAGAATCTGTGCTTTAGAGAAGTTGACCAAATCAGTGTTCAACGGGAATCGTTCAGTTCTAAAGGATAATTCTCATGAAAATGTGCTTACGACGAAGACTCCTCTTAAAAAGTTGGTCGGACGCCAGGTTGTTTGCCAAGTGTGAGAAATTAGTCAAAGAAATCAGTCCCGGGTTGACAGAGATGTACATGTAGATGTTTACTTTACTAACATCTTGTAAATGTTCATTTCAGTGTATTTAAATAACTTTGTCAGGGTAGTGGATAAGGTTTCCCAGCTGCGTACTAGTACCAGGACTTCCAGGTTCAGAAACAGCCCCATCCCATATTTTACTAAATGGATAATGTTGATCCGCCATTAATGCACTGTTCATATGGCTGATAATATACAGGTCATGGGTGTGTTGTTTTTTAGTGGTATTTTGTGAAGTACATGTATTCAGATCTGAGGATTTTTATGGAAATTTGTGTGCTTTTTAGGAATTTGGAATACACTTGTACATGTATTTGGAAATGAAACATTTGAACATTATTATTGTGACATTAGAAAAAGATGATTGACTGATTTAGGACCCAGTTTAATAAAAAAAAAGGTTCACTAAGTAATATTTTGATAGAATTATCTTTGCTGACCTCGTTCTATCATTATGACAAATCACGTTACTTTTCACAATTTTGGTACCGTCATGGATGGATAGTGACTTGCCCGGTCGATGTTCTTAGGCTCAAAGGACATCTAAACAGAAAAACCTGCCCGTCCTTGTTAATTTGTTTCGCTGGTATGTGTTTACTTTGGCTGATCGTGTTTTTTAAACCAGAAATAGGAACGTGAATTATGTTATGTCCCGTGGCATGTTTATGCTCGTATACGATGCAACGCTACAGGCAGACCCATAGACCCTACCCATATATAACTTATTTCAACACCTAGGCTAGGCCTGCATGTCAACTTCAGAGGTTTACCACATCCGTGAATTTTCACTTCTGGAGCTCCCCTTTTGTAATCCATTTTCCAGAAGTTAATACATCACTGTCTGGTAACCGGATGGAGGAGGCCCCTGCGCTAGATGTACTGTACATGTATACAACTTTCTTTTGCGTGTTGGATCACACATGGATGGACAAAGTGGGATGGGGTGAGGGCGTTATGTGATCCAGGCCCCTATGTTCGACTTCACGGGTGCTGACATATTTATTACGTTTTTCCTGGCCCTAAGATCACAAGGTGCTATTTTGTTGAAAAACCCTGACAGTTGGCACAGCGACAACGAAATTGCTTTTGGCACGAGTTCCGCTTGTACTCCTGTCGAATACCCCCCCCAGTCACGAGGCTAGTTTTGCCTCCTTGGTATACAGCCGTGATCGGCCTCACAAGGTTTGGCATACTCTCCCATCAGCCTCATTCCATTACCATGGTTTCAAACAATGCCTTGAAAAACACCTTACAGACGTCTCGATATCTGGTTTCCTGATGCATGAGCTCAGGTGATAACCTGTAATAAATTTGCCTGTTAAGAAAATTGAAACATTTATGTTCAGAGTACAACTGACCGAAATACATTGCAAATGAGAGATGGATATTTGAAAATACGTTTCAAACTACTATTTCGTTCATCATGAAGTTAAAGACTTGCTCACTGTGTGGAGGTCGAAGATGTTATGAGCAGGACATTTTACATGTATTATCACCGCAGTGAAATACCAAATCCTGTTCATAACTGGAAAACTTAAGATTCCAAGTCTTTCTTTTTCTGAGTTTTCTATTCCTGATAATACAAGGTATATAGGCCTACCGTAGCTGTTATAACGAGGCAAGTTATCAAGTCCCATAAGGACCTCGTTAGAACAGTGTTATGCCAGTTCATCGGTGGCTCAGAGAAAAATCAACGGCAGAAATCTGTGTGGTTATTTTCCTGGTAACAAATCACTTCGTCACTCGTCACCATCTGTTACCGTGAACGAAAATAGAATTGTCTGACTAGATCACCAAGGTTTGCGAGGAAAATATCCCGTAACACATTTATGCGAGTTCAGATCAGCATAGAATCCCTTCTCTGCACATAACGAAATTCCGTATTTCTTTGTGCTTTATTTTTAGTTCATTACAAAGAGAGAGCGCTTGCCAAGCACGGCCCACATCGATATCACTTTGATCTGACCCGTATACCAGATGAGGAGACGGTAACTGCAGCTGAGCTACGAGTTTTCCGCTATAACACAAATCATGCACCTGGAAACGGCACCTATAGGATAAACATCTATCAAGTCATACCCCAAGACCAAGAGAGTGGAAGGTGAAGAAATATTTAATTATGTTTTCAGTTGTCAAATAAACCATACATGAGAGAAATTGACTTGTTGCTTGTATGACAGTAATAAGGATTAACTAAGAAATTGAAGAAGCAAAGAAGAGAGGCAGAACTTGATATCTGAAGCAGAGCTCCTCCGTTGAAACATTTGTGACAACTTTTATGCGCAACTTGACAACACACGCTTTAAAATGTGATTATTGTATCCTGTGGTTAAACGAAATACTTTCATGAAATATCTCGGCGAAAGAAATTGATGATTTTTCCCTAATCCTAAAAAGAGATGGGGAGGGGAACCTTTCTCCTCTGTGATCGTCGCACCGAGCATTCAGGAATTTTTCAGGAACATTTTCCAGTCATTTTTACACCAATTGTGTGAAATTCAGACATACTATTCTCGGAGCCCGTGAACTTCACGTGACTGTGACCGTAACAGAAAAACCACATGTTTGATTTAGGTATAATTCACGTTTGTACTACTAGTGTAAAGCTTACATGCTGCATGCCGAGTTACAAAAAGATCGAGCTGGGACAGCCGAAAAGGGCTGGGACAGCCGAATTCTTAGGTGGGGGCGGAGTCCGCCCCGGCTTTGAGATGGTTCGAAAAAGCCGAGCTAAGTTTAGGGTTAATTTACTCTGTACAGTTTCTTTCTATGTGGCTAATGATTCCATTTGTCGCTAGAAGTTTTTTAATGTTATACTGTCCATAGCACGCCCCCACTGTTATCAAACCAGAAACTAATAAAGTTTTACTCTGCCATCTGACCAACATACATTCATTATCTTACAATTTATTTATTCGGGAATACGAATGTGGGACAGTGTACAAGTACGTTCAAAATGGCATCAGACACTCCAAGTGTATTCTAGAAAGTAGTTAGGCCTATGTAGTTATGTGCATAAGTACCTCAGTGAAGATTAATGTTTTAAACACTGTATTTAGATATCTGCTGATAATCACGAAGAACAATTAATCCCCAGATTCCCCCGTTTTATGCCATTTCATTGATGGGCATCTGAAATCTTGCTGTACACAATGTGAATAATGTGCTTTTCGAAGTTGAGTGGTCCATCCTGCCACTTAACACCAATCAACTACGGATGATGTACACTGCAACCGTTGCCAACATTGCCAGAAACTTAAAGGGTAGCTGCATTTAATTTGTTTCAGGCAAACCTTCAAATGCACCTTTGTGCCTCAGCTAACCTTTTTTTAAAACCTTTGTTTACTATCTTTTTCGTTTCTATGCTAATGAGTATTTCCATCTTCATGAGCAAAACTGTGGCATCTCAGGAAGAAAGCTTCAATGACACATTGGTTTGTACACAGAAAACAGTCCTGCGTTTGTGTAGATCGCGCTGGACTCAGTTTTCTTTGCCGATTCGTTGCTGTTGATGTGCAAAGCAATAAGAAAGCATCAATCCCTCTCGGAGAAATGTTTCCAGTAGGTAAATCCTGCGTTCACAATTTGAACAAAAACACCTATGCACTAAAACATGTCTTCCCTAGATGCCTTCACAGCTATAGTGGTCTTAGTTGTCCGGGAAAGCATAGTAATGGATAATTTTAATTGTTTAAAAAAGTGTACCTTTCAGTTCGTTCAACTAACAGGAATGTAAAAAAAGTTTTCATATATTGAAGAAGCATGCAAAGTTGAAGAGTGTGTCTATAAAGAAAACTTGATTGCAGCTACTCTTTAACAACCGCAGTTTTTCTCCATTTATTGCCGTAAATCGGAAAAATGCTACTCACTTTTGTATGTCAGATCTCGATCCATGGCATATCTGGATGGGCAAGTGGTCGGACGAAGCGATCATGGCTGGCTAGTCTTCGATGTAACCATGGCAAGCTCGACATGGAGAACTTTCCCTCGAGCTAACATGGGATTACATGTGACCGCGGAGACATTAGATGGTACGTGAATTCAAATTCCATCCGCACTTGGTACATGTAGAATAATAGCCGCTGTGTCTTGCATGTGGGAAAAATCCCAAGAACAAAGCGATTTCAACAATGGAAAAGAGAGAACGTGTATTAAAGGTGAGAAAAATGCTTGATACAGTATATTTACGTGTATAAGAACAGACAACGTTGCAATGGGAGCGGCGATGTTCACAGAGAGCGGCTGGATTTGGAACAACTATCAGTTGGCATTCATGAATTTAAATATTGCATTTGATAGCCTGTACACCAATAATGTTGACACAGACTACTCGGTCCTATATGTCTTGTTTGACCGAGCCGAAATGATCTCTTCTGTGAATCATTAATAACATCTGTGCGCCTAAAGACTAAGTTTTGTTCATGATTTAGCCAAATGTAACTTCAGATCTACATGTCACTGAGGCTTTTTGGTTTGCAAAGGTGACGGTAATGATACATTCACCCATCGCACAGCTGCATATGTATTTGATATTCAAAATAAAGGTATTGCATAAATTTATAATATCCAAACAGTTGCAACATTGAACAAGGTGTACAGTACATATTCTTAACTTCTGTCTTACACGAAATGGACGAACTGCAAATTAATGCTGTCCTTTGTTTTAAAGCAGGAAACCCGGAAAAGTGGATCGTCTAAATAAGGTGTCATTGCGTAAAACAGAAAAACCGATTGACTTAATACATATAAGATTTGAAGCAGATTTCAGGGAATAAGTGTCTCAAAATGTAACCCAGATCAATCTTTACAAGTGGCGTTTCATACAAGCATCAGGGAAGACTAAAAAGGACTAAAGATTACAGATGTATTCGTTGAAAGGTTCTTCACATTTTGGTTGTTGGGGGAATTATGTTCTTGTGTAAGGTAAGTCAGTTTTCGTCAAATTAAACTGTGCGTCAAAATGTCGCTTACCAGCATTTTTTAAAAAAAGGGGACGCGAGAGATATTCCGCAAAGCAGTGCCCACCAAAATGTGTTTTATGTACATCGTGTGCATTCTGTAAATGCCGAACCCAGGAGAGTCGGTGGATCCCTCTGCAATCGGTCTCGTAGGAGTAGACAGTGAACAAGGCAAGGAGCCGTTCATGGTGGCGTTCTTCCAAGGCTTCAACCAGCCTCAGCCGGCAAGGGTAAGAAACCGGAGAAGCACACCACGGAAAAGCGCCAGGAGGAGGCAGCGACCGGAGACCATCAACACCAATACCAACTCACTCAACGACCTGGGATCACCGTCCAGAAACCGTGAGTTGTACTCGCTGCTGTTTGTTACCAACATAGTGCAGGGGTCATACAGGTATCCTACCCCGAGGGTGTGGTTTTGAGACTATTATTCGAACAAATCAACATTTAGAAGAAACGAGGATTGGTTGTCAAGCTGACACTTATGCTCTAGAACACAGCGGGGTGACGCAAAAAAAGTATCAAATCCTGACGATATATTCAATGTAATTGACGTCCAAAATACCTAAGACTGGTACTGCAGTGGCATGTGCACAGGGAAGCACCACTGATCTTTTCTTGCAACGCTTACTTATTTGAAAAGTTGCAAGAACAAGTACTGGACTTTTTTCAAATCATTATCGTCGATGTTTTTACATTTTAGGTAAAGATTTGCTGATCGTATTTGGAGAGGGGGTCAGCATTCTAAATTTGATAAGGCTTCATCGGCTTATTTACTGAAACTTTGAAATTGATGACATACAGGTTGTCTCAGTCCATGACTCGTCCTTGGCTTCCATGAATGATCAACCAGATATAGTCAAATGCTTGTCATATATCCATTGCAGCTAACTCGGCCTCAGTTCGGCAGCGAGAGTGCCAGAAGAGGGCACTGCAGGTCAACTTCAGGGATCTCGAGTGGCAGGTAAGACGGAAAGGCGTTTACCTTAGTGTGGCAGCCTGTCTGCCATTTTCACCTTTACAGAGTGCAGTGGCATGTGGGATGCAGACTTGGCCGTGGTGAATGAGAACATGCGAGAACACGTCGGCGACTATTGATGTGTCAGGAATGTATTAGTTCCACATGCACTTCCTGGGGCTAACAACAATAATTCCAGGACTGTTAATGCCTTTAACCATTTGTGTAGTTGTAATAACTTGCTTGTTTATATAAGCAGCGACACTGATATATGGCGCACATTCCTGATCTTCATTGACTGGTATGGATAAGAATGTTTGCTTTCATGTTTTACCGACAATTCGTATTGCAAACATTAGCCTATGTTGTAATTCCCACTGTTTATATTCAGTGAATCTATATGTGACAATGTTCTGTCTCTAACAGGACTGGATCATAGCACCCCATGGCTATGCGGCTTTCTACTGTGAAGGTGAATGCGCTTTTCCCCTCAACGACTACCTAAATGCCACCAACCACGCCATCGTGCAAACACTGGTCAATCTGATGAGCCCAGAGGCCGTACCCCAGGCCTGCTGTGCACCCACCAAGCTCAGCGCCATATCGGTCTTGTTCTTTGACGATAGCTCCAATGTCATCTTGAAGAAGTATCGTAACATGGTGGTTCGTGCGTGCGGCTGCCATTGAATCGGCCGGCCGCGTGCACTACTTTATTCAAAGGATGACACCGACAAGTGACATGTTTTAGTGTTGTGAGGAGAAGGCTTAGTATATCAGTCAATGCCATCCTTTATTTTGATACTAGGAACACTTTAATTTGACAGACATGTCACATAGTCGGAGGTACAAGTTTGTAAAAAATGACCAGTATGACCAAAACTAATCGGATCAGCTGATCTGATTGCCATGGTTACGGAAACCAATACGACTTGGCTGTGCCATTCTTTTGCGCGTTCAAGTTCCTTAGTCTAACCCCTTCTCTGCTAACCTACAATACAGAATGCCTAATTGCATTTTGTCCCCAAAGACTGTGATATGGTTGTGCCAATAAATCAAAACGATGTTAATCCTATGAATGCTAAATGGTGACAAGACTTGCGGTGAATATAAAATTACAGTAAATTTGAGCAAGAAACCTTAAATCTAAATCCGATTTAAAAACATGAATATATGTAGGCCTAAACAAGCATTTGCTTCAAACAAATGGACAACTTTTTTTGTTATGTGCTGTGTGGGCCTCGTCCGAGTCGGCTTTTCTAGGGTTTCAGCTTTTGACGAAGACACCCTACAGTCATTGCATTTATCAATTGGCCTTTTGGGCTGAATGTCCCTTTCTGATAAAGTTTGAATGGTATTAATTGAAATGTCTGAAGTTTGGTATGTTATGCAGTAATTCCATACCACGCAGTACAATCAAGATTTTTGTTGACCTGCTCCGGAATAGGCCTAATACATTTCGACGAGACTGACGTTGTGACAGAAGTACATTACTGGGCAAGGACCACAGGCACTTTATTGAAAAAGAAGTTAAACAAGAAGGTTAAATACGTGCCTTAAGTTGAAACGAGATAATAATTAATTTTACATACTGAATTACGGTACTACCATTGCTTCGTTATGGAATACTGTGTATTAGTGGGCGGATCCAGCTTCTTTGAATGTTGGGTGATCCTTGTATAAGCTCCAGTATGTAGAACGCACCGAACGCCCGCTAAGCAAACCTTATCGAGCAGTAATGTGTACACAAAAGCTATCTGTGCCGCCATAGTTCATTCGTCATCAGTAGCATGAGAAGATAGCTCCCATGGGAGGTCAGTTTTCGCTACCAGCAAAATGATCACTCACGACCAACATGGCTATTTTATGACGGAGTGCGTCTGCTCGATCGAGGCGGTAATATTCCCAAAACTTCGCTGTTTCGCCATTTGTGTATGTGTTTTCTGTCCATATTCACAGGCCAGTGTCAAAAGGCCTTGTCGGTCCAAGACGATTTAAATGGCATGAACCTAACTGTACTCCAAACTAAAATTGTTATTGAAGATCAGAGGGTTGTTCAGACAGAAAACGAAAGCAGAATATGAATGTTCCGATTTTTTCCCCCGAAAATTGTATGGCTGAATAACAAAAATACGACAATATTACAATGTGCATGGGTATGCAACAGAATTTAACGTGCCAACGAGCCAGTTAGGTATTCAAAAAAGCCAAGGTCTTTCTGGAACAAAGCGCGCCCGTGAGTCAGCGTTTGGCTGCGCTGATACTAGGGACATACTGTAGCGCGCGCGTGTAGGTGTGCCCTTATAGCCTCGTAATGGGCATGCGCAGTTGGAATACCACTCTGGCTCATTGTGAATTTCAAATAGAACTTGGAGGTACATTAAAACAGCCTTATGATGTGTATGAGTATGTTGTCAGGCTTGGTCAAAAAGTTTACAATTATTGCTCTTTTTAAAGGCATTAAATTTCAATTGAACAAAGGGTTTTCTTTTATCCCTGAATTTTGCTGGGCTCGAAATTCTACCCACTTTCGATTGAAAATTTTAGCTTTTTGATTGAAATAAATACATTTCGAAATTGTCATGTCATACCATAAATGGATTAGGGAAAACAGCCGATGTTTTACATCACCTTTCCAGGCTTGGGCAAGATTACATTTATTACTTATTTTAATGGTTTTAAATTTCAATTCATTTAAAAATGCTTTTACATAATATTTCTCTTACCAAAGTTTTCTTTTTCTTCAAACTGAACCACTTTGGTTAAAATAAATACATTTTAAATTTGTAACGTCCCTCACGTCATGTATATTTCACTCCCAATCGAGGTGTGGAAATTAACGACCAGCTTCGATCGTGGCGGCGGTTACTTGACCAGACGTTCGTGAACCATACGGAATTGTCCTTAGCAACTTGCTAATCCTCTGGTGAGCCTTCTCGTTTTGAAGACTTCGTTTGTACAAAATTAACAGATGATAACATTGAAACTTTTTATGTACTCTAGAAGGCTTAAACCGAATAAAACACCACAGAATCGTGAAAACAATGCCACATAAATATGAAAATTAGCCTCAAAGTGATTGCTGAGATGATACAATATTTCCATTTTCAATCGATTTCTTGGTCTTTTTCCCCCGCTAAATTCCTCAATTTTAGAGGTTTCCCTGAACAATGAGACACTTTATACGACAGTGTCTCACTGTGTAGTTGAATCTCAAGTACACAATACAGTAAGTTTTATCTAGCTAGATTTTTTGTTCGACTTCCATGAGTTTTTTTAGACACTTCCGCGCATCGCAATCTACGTGTTTTACATGCACAAAACCGATCCAGCCGTGCATGGTACACTACGAGCAACGGCCTGTTACACGCGTACTGACGTACAGTACACATGGATGTAATCATGGTGCTTCCTACCTCCATGATTGGGTGCACATGTGCGTGTACATGTACATGGAAATTATGCGTTGGAGCCGGTGTACATGTTCATGTGGTTCATGCACGTATATTTATAGTACAGGTATATGTAAAACTGGGGATATGTACTGTGACTTTCAACATTTCCTGGTACTGTTATGACAGACGTCGGTTTCAATAATAAACTTCGTGGTAACTTACTGTACTTTTAAATGTGTTTGTCTTTCGTTCCCGAGTCACGGAATTCTTACGCTCGCAAGGCCGTAAGATTATTCGGGATAAACGGAATCGGTCCTGAGTCCGGTCATAGAACTCGATGGTTACGTCGATATACAAACGCGTCCGGTTGGGAAGAGAAAAAAATCTAGCGGAAAACCCTCAGCAAATCTGTACTGACGCACTCTACGTGACGTACCAAATGCGCTGCAGTGTAGGAAGAGTTACATTGCACAGGTGTTATGTATGTAAGTCGTTGGGCCACTTTGGTTGTCGGCTGGTGTGTTTCATCATCCGTTTAAGACTGACCGAATGGCGGGCCCTAGGCAAATACTGTAGGAATGAGGAAACCGTTTTAGGCATTTTATGAATGTTAGATTTTAATAAACCAGTATTACGTTATGGTCAACATTAATAAATTGCATATTGTGCTAGATGTTTTGTTTAAACACAATGCCAAGTTACCAAGTTGGTTAGAATAATTATGGGCACTAAGTGTTTGCATATTTTATTATGTGGGGCAGGTTTATGCTATTGTGAGCATCTTTACTTAAAGTATTGTAACATATTTAAATTTACCTCGAACTTAATTGATCTAACTGTAATTTGTTAATTATGCATGGTTTAAATGGCATTTGTAATTACATGCACATGTATTATGCATTACTTCGTAATGGAACGTATCAGTCAAGTGCACGCTGTGATGTTTGATAACGTTGAAGAACCACTAGCAGACACACATTGCCGTCGTGTAATCAAACTGTTTCTTGTTCGGACTGCATAAATACACATGTACATACAAGTAAAACAGGTTGATTCAAATCGTATGATTATTTGAGGACTCGTAACAACGTTCGATGTCTTCCGTCTTGAGTTTTTACATCGCCAGCTGTTGAAATTTTATGATCTTTGACCGTGGAGGAAGGACACAGAAGGAGTTACAACTCTGGCACTTCAAAGTGCTCGATGAGCATCACCGCTCGGTCAGACGAACAATAGTAAACATTCCAAAAATTTATGCCTGCAGCTTAGCTGTACAAGGGGGCCAGTAATATCCTAGCAATACTTGGTGTGTTTTGTTTGCAATCAACTCCGGCCTATCGCTGTGACCAGTAAAAAGACAGCTAAAATTTCTAACATTAGAACTACTTTTGCGGTGCCATCGTGAATAATCTTTTTTTAAATTTTAATAGTACACTGTTGCATTATCCATGCGTTTGTCATTTTATTTTGTCTCTCCAAAACAACAATTTTCAAAGACTTTGTACGAATTTGGCTAAGACTGGCCACCAACATGTTGACCACCACTGGACAGTTAAGTTCGTAACAAACAAAATGCGCTATTTCATCACAGGGAGGGATCCTGAGATTTCACTAAATACCTTTTGCATATATTCCAATAGAAATGATTCAAATAAAACTTAATATCTTATAAACAACGTGGCTATTTATTCCCAAAATAACTCCAGAAGAAAGCGTTCGATAAAGGCAACGACTGCAGATGAACACTTAGGGCACACAGCCTAATACAAGCAACTGCGCAAGTATTAATTTGATTTCAGATCATACCAAGCATCAACGATTGCATGAACATTCAACTTCCTATACTGCTGTACACAACGTTTTAAGGATGCAGATTAAAATTAAAGGATGCGAAAAATTGTGGCGATGATCATGGGGTACAAAGGGGGCCTGTGGTTGTGAAACAGGTGGCGCACAGCAAGCGTTTGCTGCGCTCTGGCTGTGGACATACTAAGCATGCAGAAAGCGGTAATTGGCCAGAATGTTATAGCCCGGGCAGTTCAGACTCCTGTGTCCTTCCATGCTTGGATCATTCAGATCTTGTGCTCCGTCTGATCTTTATACTCTGTCTCGATTGCTGTATTGTCATTGGCTCAAAGCGATCACGCGGCTGGGCGATAAAGACACTTAATACTCTACGTTGGAAATCGCACATCAGTGTTATCTAACACATTTTGATATCACATTGTAACATTCTCGCCCCCATTGTGTAAACCATTAGGCAGAGACTTTAAGCCAGACCATTCGTTAGCACCTCTGCTACTTTCGCTTTTGCAATTAGTACGGTAAACTCGAGTGGGAACTCCGAACTGGTATACGATATGATTACATGTAGATGTTGGAGCGCGTCGGTACTTTGTAAACAGTTGAAATTCGTTTCCTTGTATTGTCGGCTGAGCTTGAAGACTTCCAACAAGATATTATCAATTTGCAACACAACGCATCCGATAAGGTGATGTACCGAGTCTGCGCTCGTCGAATAACATTCTGTACAACAACGGATTAAGACGCGTAGTTAGTTCTGATTAAATTCAATACTTACAAATGAGGAAAATATTGCCAAGAATTCAAGACAGGGGTATAACAAAATCAAATTGACTGCTGTAAATTGGGATATGATCATTGGGATATGCCTATACAATACGAAACGTACGCAGCGGCGGTGGAATGTTACTGTAGGCTTAAGTTGTGATAGAGGGAGGCATATATTCACCGTCTGATCCAGGGAGAGGTGTATGGGCGGGTTGTTTTTGGACAGTGGTCAGGATTTGTATTTGGAAAATAGCGCCGTTGCTCTTGCAGTTGATAAAAATGAATGATTCTTTTGCTATTTTGTACAGGTATTGGAGCTTAATAATTATATTTTGAAATATGCCAAGAAATGTTATCATTGAAAATGCAGACAAGTCTTCTATCATAGGAGTCCACTCGTCATCACATGACAGTCCTTAGGAGATGGGAATCTCAAAACATTGGTATCTCGTCAGTTAGACGATCAATCTTTTCTGAATATGGAATCCTGTCCTTTTAAACACCAATGACTTTTGCCAGAATGACTGGCTTGTATTTCCTGTGACAGAAAGCGACTTGAAACGATACAAAGACACGATGTCATTGCAAAGTAAAGGATACCCGTCTAAGTTCCCTTTAATGCCCCCAACATAAAGTTGTGTTTGGGGCTGAAATGATATAGGTTTCCACAGTGGTATAGGCACTTCGGTCTCATCTTTGAAGTTGCAAACCTAGTTCTCTGTCTGTGGGTAGTGAGGTCCGTGCTATATGCTTCCTCGCTATGTAATGGAACACTGGCCACGGAATTCCCTCCCTTAAGCTTGTTGATTTCCCGACTTGTGCAAAACGCCAGTATAAAAGCGCACTTATCGTTTCACTGGGAAGTCATCCGAAGGGCTGGACATTATCATGAGATGGCCTGTGAATGCTCAAAGATAATTTGCTTGTCCCAGTTCAGCCTTTGCGTCTGAAGCAATCACACTGTACACATATTTTATTTCAGGGATATCTGGGCATTTTATTAGGAGCGGAAAGTGCAATGATAATTAAGTGGCATTTAACTGGCCTGACCTGTTTGAAATGGACACTGTTTTACCGTCTATAACGCAGCTGCGTCGCTGTTCCTTCGGAAGCTGGTTCGGATATGGGCGTGGCTTTTAAAATTAATTTTTTTGGCGGCGGTGTGTCATCATGAATTGCTGTTGAACCTTGCAAAGCTGTAAGAATTACCCTTCTATAAAGTATTGCTGGGAGGAATTAAATTTACCGATTTGGGACGGAAAAGAATGTCGGTGGTCGATACTGTTTGACTTACCAAGAGGTTTGTTAAACCTTTTTGACAGATACATTGCATCATGGGAGGGAATAACAAGCCATAAGTGACTGTATCCATGGAGTGAAGAGGAAGTAAATCAATCAAACAAAAAGTGACATTTTTTCTTGGGAATATTTCTCAAGTACCTGAACATCACGTCACAAATACATAGTGCAAGAGAAACATTTTTAAACAAAAGTTATCTTTCAAGCTTGTAAGGTAAAAATATCGCCCTTAATGTCTTTTTGAAAGGACACCAGGCACTACATGGAGGCTTATATGGACTGTAGAATGAACTTGATTGGTCAATGCGGAATGAGTTGGCTTCAAATCCTAATTTTGATTGGCCAGTGTAAGCTTATACATTATCATGGTTTAAGACAAACACCGTGTTCTGCGGTTCTGCAGGGTGCAACTAAAAGTTGCGAGAATAACTGGAATTCCCGTCGGGAGTGACTAGCTCGTAAACGGTGAATGAGAAGCGATAGTTGTTCTGAAACAATTCGCGTGCTGTCCTTTATTATAAGATTTATTATTAAGAACCAACCTCGATTAGTTTACAGGAGCGAATTTGGCGCACGAATAAACTTCTGTACAGTTTTGTGCCTTGTTGCAAGACAATTTAACTTGTAATGTGCACTCCCACTTGCATGCACATGAGCAATTGCAATTCACACTACAATAATTACATAGAGGGTGGGTTTATAAACCAGGTACAATGGTGTTCAAATTCAAGCAGTGTACGAGAAGGATTTTACGTTCAATAAAACGGCAGTGTATCAAGAAGTTTGGTTCGTAGTGTATTTTTTCTTCACTTTGTTGCTTATAGGACTTGCGTGTAATTTTAGTGACATTTCATGCCACACAGTTTTTGTTCAAGAATATAGAAGCTTATCATTCTTGGGAATTTTTAGAGTGTGTTACAATTTTGATTCAAATATGTCTACAGCCTGCTGTCTAAAAATGCTTCTCACCAGGAAACACTTTGGTCGATAATCTGCCTGCCATTACTTAACGTGGCGTACCTCACGGTGGATCACCTACGGTGACTTTCAACGGACATCCCAAATAGTGAATACTGACGTCAGTATTCCCGTCCAAGAGGCCACGTCTCTATTTCCCGTCGCAAATAGTGACGTTAGTATTCACAGTTTGGATTTGTGAAAATCTGGCTTAAAAATGTGTGCACCCTGCTGGGTCTCCTCCAAACTTTCACCCTACATGCCACTGCTTTTCGAGTAGGCCTACCAACCGTAGGCCTACTGCCAAATTGTGCCAACAAAGTGGCGAACGTGAAAACTGGATAAAGTGCAAACGTAATTACAAGATCAATTGATATTTTTTGACAACCAAAAAATGTGTCAAAAGTAAATTTCTCTAGCAAAGGTTTTCGGCCAAATGCTTTTCTCCTGTAGACTTTTTGTCAAATTGTGAGAGTTACACTGCGATTACAACGCTGCCGTTCCCCCAGTCTGGTGATAATCCCATTTGAAACTCAGCCCAAACTTACTCTAAACTCAGTGTTTTCCTAGTAACAATACTAATGTATTGTTACCGTTTCCCTGCTTAGCGTACTGCGACCTAATGATCACAGTAGGCTAAGCAGGGAAACGTGGAAGCAGAAGCGTTTTGCTCGTGGCGTCGCATCACGCTCGTGTTTCAAAAACGAGATAGTTAAAGTTATGAGTGGTTCAAACAAGTTAAGTCGTTTAAAAGAGATTGTCTTTTAAAAGACATGGAACATACATTTATCAACGTTGGCAGAAATATGGCGCCAGGTAAAAAAGTTGAGAGTTAGAAATACATAACCAAATGGAATTTCAGGCTATTCATGGTGAAAGACAGCAATAGGTGGAAAGGCTTGCGGTAGCACCAGCTCCCGGGTCTTTTCAGAACCACACATACTCATCAGAGATATATTCCTTCACACGGTGCTACCGCAAGCCTTTCCACCTAAGATACATAACGTGGTAGATCTTCGGTGCGTGGCGCTTTCTGCGTTGGGCGCAAGCTACCACAGCGTACGCGGCCTAGGTGTGCTGAGCCACGGACCGAGCTCAGTGAAAGGCCTACCAAACAGGGCCGTATGGAGCGGTAATGAATGCGAACCCAGACATGCTGTGGATATTTTATAAACTCTACATCTGCGGAAACCGGGGGAAAAAAATCATGACATGCCTGTGAGCTCCTCAGACGCCTAAGACGGAGATAGATTATTTTTCAGCAACAAAGAACTGGATGACATGGATGCAGATAACGAGGCATCTCATAAACAAAATAATTTATTTGCTAAATAAAAAACGATATCTTTATACATTAATATGAAATTGTAATTAAAACAAAATACAAGTTACAAACACATGTACTAAGGTTTCAAGCATGCAGCAGGCAATCATTCATAAGAATGTGATTGTAACTTCATGTAAACCCACTAATCACAAAAAGCCAAATGACCTGTGAATTAAATTTCCACCATTCTGCTGGTAGCCATATCCAACATAAACAAAGTCGAACCATAGCTCTGCTGACAAATAACTTTGATGATACGTGACAATGTATAAACGCCCAATTCTTGTAAATGATGAGTTAAACAAATCTCTGACCGGAATTCAACAGTGCCCACAGAAAGAGTTAACGATATAAGGGGAAGACAGTACAGAGGGAAAAGGTGACACTAATTTCCTGTCAGTAAATGCATGGCCTTCATTTAAACCATTTGAGCCCTGAGGGGATTTACGAGTGAGGTGTATTTAAGTAAAACCAATGATAGACTTGAGGTGAAAATCATAGAACGTGTGAAAAAGATCGATCACATGCTGAGAAAGTGTTAAATTCAACACTTTAGGAGGAAAGGCAAGCCCATGTTTTTTCCTGTCCAAATCCCTACAAATTACTGTTAACCCTTCTCGTTACATTACACTTCCTCCATTGTAACCAAGTACTTGACTAGACTTAAAGTCAGCAGATTGAAACATTCCGTGAAAAACTTCCAATGTGTTGAACCGACTGAAAATTACCCGTCTTTGTGTAGCAAAAGATCACATGTATGTCATTTAACTAGCGTTTTCTAACTTTCGAACATTTTTTCCTATATATGCACAGCAAAATACCCAAAATGGGCAAACCAAGATTTCAGATTGAAAAATTCGGTGCCAAATAAATAAATTTTCCGTAAGACTTTACTTGGAAGTATCTTCTCTCCCCTGTCATCTGACATCAACCATCTGAATCAGTGATACCACAACAGACATTGTTCGTGAGAAACAGTCAGGGATGTGATAGATACTTTTACACGGATTCAAAGAGATGTGTATATTCAAACACCTGGGACAAAAAAAAAGCTTTTTCTTGCTGCACGTTTCAAAAAATTACCAGAGCAGACAGGATGTAGTTTTTGAAAGAAAACCAGAGATGCCTCTCCTCATGTTCTTGTCCAGAGCATAAATCAGCCTTGTAAAAGCTTGAAAAGTGGTCGAAAAGGGAAAAAAAACCAAGCATCCCTGGGATATGCTGGACGGAGGATGGGGGGACACCTCCTTATAGTAGCTTGACCTTGAGAGACAGAGTTTGGAAGCTCTCAAACACGAGGACTATTGCATTAATCACCAAAAACATGGCCAGCTCACGTCCGTGGACCTCATCCAATTTTTTTTTCTGTGGGGTTACCCCCAAACAATTCTATTTACACTGCTTTATCGACTGTACCCTTCACGAAAATCTTGGTAGTTACAGTATGAATTCCTGGTGTCCAGTTTTTGCTTCTGACACCCTTTATTGGTTGTATTGCTCAATTTCAGTGAGAATTCTGTCCTATTCCTCAACAAGCATTCAAATTCATGGAGATATTTCAACATTGTTCATTACTGGGCTTTCCTTTACCTAACTGCACTATTCAGTTTTCTTTTCTGCACTCATGATTTTGGTCCTGCCCTCTCGGTTCATTTTGTACATTCTGTTTTGTTCATTTTCACAGTCATCAATTATAATTCAAAGATGGCTTTTGGACACCCCTCTCAGTTGGTTTAATATGGACATTAGAAACAATTCAGTGGACTGTGTACGGCCTGATGTTATGTTTTTCCTCCGTAACTGTAGTAACAACCACTCGAATTACCTAGAAAACCACACAAATCAAGGTAATTGGCTGTTTGACAATGGATTTCAATCTGGATAGTCTCTGTAATACATACTTTCTACAGGCTGGCTTATGTACTTTGCACAAAAGTGAACAGGAAAATTACAAAAGTTGGATGTAACTCTCATGAGTTTCGCTGCAAACAAATACATGACGTCAAATCTGGTTCACATTTGCATTCCCCTTAAGTATGAACCAGCCTTAATCAGCCCCAATCGCATCAATATACAGTTCGAAATCGAGACCTGTATTTGTAGAAACTCTCAAATGGAGCATGACTCGCGATTAGGAAGTAGGCAACTTTGTGGAGGTTAACATTACGACTGATGTCTGCTCGATTTGTAGCCTCTAAAAGGTTGACAAATTTGAATGTACATGTGCCATACATGTATGTGTACCTCTGTGGAAAGCACTGGTAACGGAATCAATGTTTGGACATGTCATACTTCATTTTGTCTAGGAGACAATAAGTCGTGTACCCTGATGCAAAACAGGCTCGCATGAAAATTTGTGGTGAAAACTGGCAATAAATTAGACAAGTTATAAGGAAATACTTGAATTAAAAGTGACTGAATTAAACAAACTATTTTTCCCTCCTGCACGGTTTCTAATTTTATTGATGGCTGTCTTCAACTGCAAGGCCTTGAGGCTGTGAGCCCTGACGATGCCAGTCTGCCCGCCGCTTAAGATCCATGTATGAGTGCCCAGGTTGGGGTTGAAACATGCCTGAGAAGCAACCACACACAGTGAAGCAAGATGATTCATTTCAGGTATTTCATAAACAGCTTGTCAACAGTCGTTGCGGATAAAATCCCAAATTAAAGTGCCGTGTGAAGTGGGTCTTTCACTGTTTTCCATGAATGCTTGGATCAGTGGCATGCCTTCAACACAGGGTACAGGCCCCCTGGCGTATTTTGTCATTTTGCATAGAGAATCCTTACAAATGGTACAAGTGATCCTCCTCTTGTCAAAATAGTGGCTGGTAATAAAAGAAACATCAGGTTACATTAAGAAAAAGTGATCATGTCGTCCCTTGTGTTCCTTTGGTACATTCCAATTCTTCTGCTGTCAAAGGGAGGTTTGGACTTCCAAACCCACCAAAACTTAAGAGATCATCAAACATTTATGACACTGAACATTTTCCCAAGAAAACCAATATCCCATTCTTGTGAATAGGGAAATTTACATCAGCATTAATCCCTAGACTGTCAGATAGTAATAATACCTTAAAATGCAATATGAAACCCATTTCTGAGGTGACTATTCCCCTTTGGCAAGGTTTCCATCAAAATTAGGGAGTTCTAGCGATTTTGTGCTGGATTTGAATGTATCAGCTACCTACAACAAGCTCAGTGGTTCAGTGGTTACGATGTCTGCACAACTGAACAGGAGGGTGTGGGTTTGAGTACAGTACGTAAGCTTGGGAATCTTTCTAGAAACTGTAAGACGGTACCAAGTGTGCAACGCTTGTTACATTACCGTATGTCGAGGGTTGAAACTAAACAAACTCTTTTCAGTACCTTCTCAGTACAAACACCGAGGGGTCAGTGGGTCCCTGTAACTCACCCTGTGGACTGCTACAGACATAGGCTGATTACAGCCATCACACGACGACGTGGTGTCGGTGTCAGAACTGGCTGCACGGCTTGCCTTCAACCAATCCTCATTACTGAAATCATCCTGTGCCCAAAACGTAAAAGACACCAGTCAGTGTTGAATGTGTGTGGTCTGATGTCTGATCCACCCAGGACCAGAAATGTGATCGAGTTTCCCGAGGGAGGGCTTCATTTTATGCGTAACTCAACCAGTGTAATACCGCATACAATTTGTTTGTTTCTTTCTTCCAATTCCCTGTGGGTTTCCTCTTTGGTTGGAAAGTGAACCCTTTTTGGTATTGATACTGCTATGTCTGCAGACCAGATTTGAAACTAATACCGACAAACTATGCTTGCCTCCGGGAATAGTGTAAATCAATAAATAGATAAATGAGGGGAATTTTTCCCTCCAAATTTGGAAAGTCAGCATTCCATGTCTGTTGGGAAAGTTACTGAAATAATGATTTAAATACATGTAGATGTCATAATATGTTGAAATATTTTCTGGAGGTAGAATAGAATGAAATCTAATATACATTGGGAACAATAAACAGTCCAGTGAAGAGCTGCATTACTAGCCACTTTCGAGCATTCTTCTATCCTTAATGACAAATTCATCATTTTAATCTAAAGTGCCGGTGCATTGTGTCCTGACAAGGATTCAGAACCATTTTCTGCAGATCCTGACATTTTTCACGACTGTTTATTTTGCTTTCATTGAAGGCCTAACCTCACGGAAATTGCTAGTCAGGTCTATCTACTCACCATCGGTGCATCTTTGAAAGAGATATGGACACTGTCAGCAGAGGATGCTGTTGGCCTTCTCCATGTTGTTCCACTCTCAGCGACAGGTGAATGCTGCTCACTGTGTACAGCATCAGACACTGGTTCACAACTGACGGGAATGGAGTGTGTGGCACTGTGGGTAACACTGCACCAGGTATCATGTGAAATCATTTCAGGTTCTTTTTTTATAACGGTTTCAGGTTCCAAATGCCTGACAGGTTCAGGTCCTTGGTTCCTACCATGTTCAGGTCCCTGATGCTGGATCGCGTCAGGGTCTTGGTGGTCTTGGCATGCAGCAGTCATCAACCCACGCTGTTGCTCATTTTGTGCTGTACAATTTTCTGCAGTGGTAATCACACTGACAAGACGGTTAATTAATTGTGCAGCACTGGATGACGCTCCGGCATCTGCAGTCCTCATTCTGTGAGTCTCATGATTTGTGGACAATCTATTGTCTTCTGTGAGGACATCTGTACCGTCCAGTTTTTGTGGTTTGGAGGGTTGATGCCCATCTTCTTGGACTCTGCGTTCCACCTCTCGTCCAGTATGCGTGCGTACAGAGTTTGCATTCCGATGGAGGTTAACGAGACTCTCATCCCGGTGGGGTTCTACAGACTGTGAATCTGAACTAGCTGAAACTGCAAACTTGGCTTGCTCCGGTGATGTCCGTTCTTCCTCAGTAGTACTCCCGTGGTCATTTACTTGCTCAGCATTTGCACTGTCGGCTAAGAGTTGGTTGGGAGCTGTGCTGCATCCTGTGGTGTGCTGTGATGTCTGTACATCCGAAAGGCTCGATGTGGACGGTAGCTCACCACTAGGACGGGATGACTTTGCCACACTCCCTACACTGGCAGTGACGACTGTGCACTCACTTGGAGGAGTCTCAGCAGAGGGTGAAGCCTGATGAATAGTTGTGCTGTACACCAGCTGCAAACAGGAACAAAAATACATCAAATGTGTTCCTCTGTTCTGCATGATCTCTGTTCTGGATGTATGGGTGTTCTGTTACTTCATGAATATATAGGATTTTGAAGTACATGGACCTACAGGGTATGTTCAAGAGTACTTTCATCCTCAAAGTACCTAGCACACCAGTGAACTTCTCCAGACTTGTGTTAAGATATAGTCTGCCACACAATGTATGTCTGTACAATGTTCACTACAGGCAGGGTACATGACAGCCACGTAAGGTAAAACTTTGCTTTTTATGGACTTCTTGGCATACAGTCAACATAGCACCTGTCAGCAGGTGTGATTGTGTCACATGGGTAAAATTTCCTCATTCAATATGCAAAATACACCTCAATTCAATGATCCTACATGTACATGAGGTTCTGCTACTGATAAAAACTTAGTATTTAATTGTACATACATGTATGTACATACCGGGTACATTAAAGAAATTGATATTACGTTAGCTCACATATGTCTGCAGCTCGCCAAAAGGTGGTACAGTTTTGTCTCTTAATATTTTCCAAGATGAAAATTTCCTGCGACAGAACAAGACAATTTGCCGCAAGCTACATGTACATGACATACGGATGGCAAAACGTGTAATATAAATGGGGAAAATGTCAGACAATTTCATAGTAAAATATAGAGATGTTTAAAACGCTGCAATGCAAATAAATGAGTTAGAAAATGACCCAGTACCTGGAACAAATTAACAATTTCAACAAACAGCCACGTGATTTTGTTACAAGTTCATGAACCAGTAAAGAGATGGAAGTAATTTTGCCTGCATGGAAGGGTATTTTGTTTTGGCAGAAAATCTTGGCTTCCAGTTCCAATACTAAAAAAAATCTCCCAATATCACCTGAAACCCTGTCGCTCACTCACCCACGTTCGCCGTTTACGATCGTCCTTCTTTGCACACTTGTCCAGTTTTGGTAGTACGAGGAAAAGGACATCTCCGCTGTCGCTGCACAAGAGCAGGGAGTTTAACCAGTCCGAGTAATCAACATTCTGCACGTGGGGTTATATTAAAATGGCATCATCAAAATTCAGCCTTGCTGTGTGAAAACTTGCATGTACCGAATCATTGCTCGGGTAAAAATCCTCCCAAAAATTATTTGCACGAAGATGTACATGTATACACCCTAGCAAAAGGACCCTCGGGCAACACTGATGGAAAAAATATTTCGTGAATCAGACGCACGTTCTAATAATTTGGAATGAAGGCGGCAACACGACTACATTTTGTCGGATTTGACTTGAAGAGTTTCCTTAATAATTGTATTTTTCCTGCAATGAATTGACTAAGCTTATCCCATCTTTTTGATGTCTCCTGGCAGACAACGATCATTGATTTTGTAAGTGGCCCACAGCCAATGTGATACAATTGTGGTTGCATCACCATGAATGCAAGCAATGTCTCAGAAATGAAACAGATTTGTAACTTGATGACTAATGGATGATTTATATGACACCTATTTCCCATCGTGCGATAGGTAGATTAGTGATCATGTGTCATAAATTAGGGCACTTACCCTCACAACAAAAAATATGTTCCATTCTCAGTGCCTAGTAATTAGTACCTGGGAAGTGCATGCATAGTGGCACTATCCATGGCATAGAAGGGCCGTTTCCATGAAACACAATATCCTACACATGAAAACATTTCTGAACTAGCATGTGAAGTTAAGGGTTGCTCATGCAAAGAAGCAAAAAAATGCCAAACTTTTGGAGGAATCAGCAGGATCCACTAAAAAATCTGTTGAAGCACTAACTCGCTCCAAACTGGACAAATTTTAGGTGAATTTTATGCGGGATTCAAGAAGGAAAAATGACAATTTTTACATGAAGATTTATCCAGGCACTGCATAAAATCAAGTGTCCCATGGGTGTGCATAATTTTGTGCATGTGTGAGAATATTTTCATGTTTACTGCTGCACTCATGAACACTCAGTAGACTACTGTACAAAATCATGGGAAACGTAATATCCCTAAAACACAGGTCCAAAGCTGTCCTTTCCAATGCATATTTGCATGCAAGTAGAATAAATGACATGATAGTTTCATCGATCTGAAGACAGATACTGAGGAAGTACTTAAACCCAATACCCATGCATGTAGTCCGTGATGTGAAGTGCTATACAGTGTATGTCAATACCCACCCAGCACGTAGTCCACCATGTGAAGTGCTTAATCTCAATACCCACCCAGCATGTAGTCCATCATGTGAAGTGCTTAATCTCAATACCCACCCAGCATGTAGTCCATCATGTGAAGTGCTTAATCTC